TGGTCTAGAAAAGCTCCACCTGATCGTCTGCGCAAAAATACCACGCGTGTAGTTAATGTCCCGTTGGAATCTTACCAGGGTATTTGGCTTGCCAGGTGTAGGTCGTTGATTTCATCCTGTAACATACAACACTGTTATCTCTAGCATATCGAAGTGCAGTGCTTGACATCGAGTGTTTTATTTACAGTGCACCAATGCCGCCATCTGTTGAAAAGAGACGCGAAGTGTATTGTGAACTTGATCTAGATCACAGCTTTTGGTGAGGGCTATTTTTTTTCCTCGATGCATGGACTGCGTGTATTTCACATTAGGAAAGAGCCCTGACTAAAAAATTGCCCTAAAATAGTTTTTCTTGACGGTAACAAACAGGAAAATTGAATTGTTTTTTTCCCTCTTAAACTTATAATCCGGCAGATTTGGAGGGGGGGGGGGCAGTTGGCACCCCCCCCCCCCAACAAACATTTTTTTAAACACTTATCTAGCCTACCTCAAGTGTAAAGAAAAAGTGTGCCCCCTTCTCTTACTGTGCCCCGGCAGAAATTTTAGACCTAAAAAGGCACAAAATGTATCAATGAAACTTGTTCCTTTCCATTAAAATGCCCATGAACGAAAATTCAGTGATTATATTTCGCCATACAAATTATCGAAGTGACGCGTATCTTAACGGAGCATCAAAACCCGAAGGAACCCCCCCCCCCTTCTCGTCATGAACGCTCTTCCTTTCAAATGAAAATTACACAATTGGGACCTCAGACACTGTCAGAATTGAACACCCCCTAAAAAAAAACGCACACAACAACAACAACAACGTCAAAATTGATTCGAGGCTTACTTCATCGTCTTTCGAAGATATTCATTTAAAATCTGCCCATTATTCTGTCTTACACTCGATAAGCTCAGCCAAGTGATATCACCAAAACATAGAATTCATCGATGCATCTAAAAAAACAAAAATCGTAATATTTTCACAGTAAAGCATAGTATACATCGCGATGGGGAAAGAACTCCTAGATTGATTTCTTGATTAAAAATCGGTATGCCTCTTGCGAGATGACTTGCCGATATATGGTCGCCGGACGAATTTGACTGACAGTTTCATTTGCTTCACAGCATGTATCAAGGGGCAGAACAAGTGATGATGTGTTCGGGGGTGGGGGATTTGCTTACTTCATGAAGAACGTTGTTGGATGTATAAAGTTGACCGGAGACGTTGCAGATTAGCCATTGAAGTAGGACTTGTATCAACATTTAAGCCGTTTAGAGAAAAGTGGAAGAAAAATTCATTTTGCCAAAACGACGCCCCCAAAAAAGCCCTACAAATCGAAGAGTAAAGGAGTGGGGGCCGAAACCTTCTCAGTTTATCACTTCGATATCCCTTCACCTTCCTAGGTCCATGTCATTCAACAAAATAGTCACCGAACTTTAAAGCCCATTTACCTGGGTGATTGTGAGTATACTTACTTGAAAATACTTAAGAGAAACTGAAAGAAGCACCGCCAAGAAGCCATTACGATGCTGTACGACCAATTGTGAGATGCGGTTACTAGGAGTTAGTCAAGGAGTTGTGGTAATTATTACAACTTCCATTTGTTGACTGACAATAAGACGGCCGGGTCAAGTGGAATCAAAAGAAAGGGCAAATCTTTGGATGGAGGTTTCGAAAAGGGTGATGAGCACTTTGAGCTGTTGCTGATTGTCTATTGTATTCTGAAAATGATGTTCACAAATTATAACTCGTTGGTGGAAGTTTGGAATTGGCGTAATGATTTCGTTTGTATCTTTCCTTTTTATGGTCAGTCTTGGTCGATGCTAAACTAAATCTATTGAATTTTCCCCTGGTCGAGACCGTGGAGTGGTCATACATAGTCTCAGGACCCCAAGATCTCTTAAGTCTCTACTACAAACTTGGGGTGAAATTACAGGAGGTGCAATACATATAGAAGAATAATTATGATCGCATTCATTTTTCTTAATCGAGTTAAATTTAGATACCTTTACAAATATTTCCCATGATTATCCAGATGTTTAGAGCTCTCTCGTAAATTTCTTCGTCTCGCCCCTTCTCTCCATCTCCGACCCTCTCTGTCTGTCTCCCTCTCTCTTCCTTCCTTCCCTCCCTCCCTCCATTCCTCCTTCTCTCTGTCTCTATCCCCCTTTCTTTATTACCCCGTCATCATCCCAAACGTTTCATATGTACCAAATTTCTCGAAGGTAGCAACACGCCCTTTTAACATTTTCTCATGAGGGTTACCATCATCTCAAAAGCAGAACTTGTCACCTTTCCAAAACACATACGCCGTCTATTTTTGCTCCCTTGTCTTACTAATTATATTTCTTATTGAAAATAAAGATATGATTCATCGGGGGTTGACTGGGCATTTGACCCAATTAAACGCGTTGTTTGTCGTCGACGCGGCGACATGCCACACATTAAAGTCGGCGCTTGAAGAGCGAAGTCAACAAAACTGCGATAGTGAATGATCAACACGAGCAGTCATCATAATTCTGTCAAAAAATGATTGGGGCTGAGAAATAGGGTTCGCGAGGAGTTGGACATTATTGATTTTGAGTCGAGGTTGGGGGGAGGGGGTAGGGGTTGGGGGCAGGGGAAGAGAGAGAGATAGAGCGTCGGAAAGAGAGCGAGAGATGGAATGAAAGAGAAAAATGAAGACAGTATCATAGCTACCAACGACAGGCAAGGGGCAGGTGCCCCCCCCCCCCCCCAAAAAAAAAAAATAAAAAAAAATCGATACTCAAACAAACTTTTTAAAACGAGGAGGAAAGAAAGTGAGAGGGACAAATATAAAAATTCTGTGATAGGACTCGGGCTATGATCCACGATGTCCATCCTATGCCATTGTATTTTGGACAGCCCGACTAAACTTTGAGAAAATCTCTGGCCACATCAGATCAGCAATGAACTTTGATTCAACAAGACTATTTTTATATCACACAGGCTTTCTGGATAAAAGTCCTTGAAATACCCCCTAAGCTGGTTCCAGGTTTGTATCTGAATTTAAATTCATTAGGTTATCTTTACAAAAATATATCTACCAACTTTAAACGGACATCTATATATAACACCCACCTACATGGTACATTAACCGGATATCATAAAAACTGGTATATTAACCCTAATCCTAACGCTAAATTCAAAACAATATAACTAATTAAACTAACGATTAAACCTTTTGTTTCTTGGAAGGCCTTAAAGTTTCCTCTGCCAAGAAAAGTATGTAGAGGGCAGTACTTCTTTTGTGCAATGGTTAACAGGAAACAAAATTGTCCTGCTAATGACCATGTCTACTTAATGCCTCGTTTTTTCACTCAACATGTCCGTCTAATGACGCCTTAAGTAAAATAAAAGTGTATATGTTTATATATCTATAAATCTAATGAGCATTCCAGCAAATTACAAACATTTTTGTGTTACGTGATGTGATGGTTTGTCACAATTTTACTACATTATGAATGGTATAATACTGTGCTGTACTCAATGAAAAAGGGTTAGAAAAAACATATTTGCGTGTATATTAAGGTTTTAATTCACACAATAAACATCATACTTGAAGCAATAACATGAACATGAACGTACATGTACAGCAGACATTTCACTGGAACAATAACACTGTACAGGGGAATCATGCCACTGGTTGCTCTCACCATTATGATCTTTAGAGAGCATTTTTTCCTTCAATAATGAACTACCAACAAATGTACATTCTGTAGATTTGTGACCATGATTTGTACGTCCCTTGAGAGACCAATGCCAGTAAATGGTGAGAGAAAACCGTGGCATGAACAGCCTGCCATAGTCCAACTTAAAGTTGATCTTAGTCATTGTGAAACACTCTCCAGGTTAAAAAAAATTAAAAGAAATGCCGGTTAAACATCTGCAACATTACTAGGTGTATCCAAATGATAGGTTCTATTTTAGGTAGGTTGCTAGTGCAGTTAAATCTCAGTAATTGAATAATTGAACTCCCAGAAAGAGTACAAAAACACAATTGAACATTGAAACTTCCATATTTTAACAAATTTACATAAAAGCGGGTTATTCAAACATCGACAGTAACATTTAAAACTGCACCTGAAGTTTTGACTAAAAAGAGTACAATATGCTCTCTTGCCGTGATTATTTCTTACTGATAATTTTACCCTACTTTTAATGATGTATCTCAGTAAAAAGAACGGAACATGGAACCGACAGTGAGATGGGAGCATGGATGGGGGAAAATCTGAGCAGATTACCAGAAAAACACAGAGTAATTTTACATCCTAGTTTATACTGACAGTACATGTACGTCTTATCTGCAGCCTACATTATACACATAATAGAATTCTTGACATTACAATTTAAGCCAGTTTCTTTTAAAGGCTGTCTGTACTAGTTTGGCTAGGAGGGATTAGATCACCCAGGGTGGTCACTGTGAGGTGGCTATCTCATCAACTCTACTCTCAATTAACATAAGAAAAAGAGGATCATGGGCTATGGGGGACCAATGGTCACCGATTAGGCAGTGTTTTATATATAGAAGGAGCAAGTAGCTACAAGTAGTACAGTGGGGCTTTAAAACAAAACATCCATTTATTAACAATAACAGCTAATGTCATATAACAAAGAAAATGAGGTGGTTTCTACCAAATTAATAATGTAGCTTGAATTGATGAAAGTCCTTGCAAAGCACAGAATGGTTTAAAATATAATAAATATATACGACCTGTTGAACTTCATATAAGACATTACATTGACACAACACTTGACTTGGAAAATGATTGCTAAATTAATTTATATTGCATTCTATTTATCATCAACGGTAAATCAAGACATGATTTACCTTGTATGATCAGCAGCAGTCTCTACTATGGTTTTAAAAAGGTGCAGTTTATCATCTTCTTAACTTCTTGAACTATGACAAATTTAATTGAAATTTAATTCAAGCTAAATGATGCTACAATCAGATGGAATGAAAACCCACAGATTAACAAGTGTAACCCCTCTAACTGAAAGAGGTCTCATGAATGAAATAAATACAAAATTATTAAATACAAATCAGTGTTTGAATTTAAAATCAGTATCATAAATGAGTATTTCATCACATATTGCCCCGCAAGGTGCTTTACGATTAATCACAGAAAGAAAAGCAATGAGAAAGTGAAATGACTTAGTTACCTGTACCATGTAAGGCTATATGAGGTCTGTATAATTGTCTCTACTTACAGGTACTTTCACATTATTATCATCTTACTCCTGCTTTTTATGTTGGTCTATATCTTTTGATGGAAGCTTCACAGCTTAGGAGGCACTACCCCACCCTCCTTGACCAGCCCCATACCCTCCTCCTCCACCACCATCTGAGCCAGCTCCCCCTCCTGCTCCTCCTCCCTGTCCCCCTCCACCACCACCACGCCCAAACCCTCCTCCTCCTCCTCCACCACCGCTTCCAAACCCACCGCCATTCCCTCCCGAGTCACCTCCCTGGCCCCCTTGACCAAATCCCTTGTTACCACCACCACCACTACCAAAGTCATTACCCCCATCTCTGTCTCTAAAACCCCCACCACCTCCAAAGCCACCTCTTCCTCCTCCAAAGCCTCTTCCTCCTCCAAAGCCTCCTCCTCCTCCTCCTCTTCCGAACCCTCCTCCCCCTCCTCCAAATCCTCCTCCCCCTCCTCCATATCCTCGTCCTCCCCGGAAGCCACCACCTCGTCCCTCCCGGTTCCACCCTCGTCTCCCGCCCCCTCCTCCGCCCTGGTACCCTTGTCCTCCGCCGAATCCTCTTCCTCCTCTGAAGCCCCCACCACCGCCGCCGCCATAGCCACCACGACCACCACCACCACCACCGCCGCCACCACCACCGTAGCCACCACGACCACCACCACCACCGTAGCCTCCGCCGCCACCACCACCTCTGAATCCTCCTTGTCCTCCGGGGGGTTGCGAAAAGGAGAAGCGTCCTCTCTTGGCTCCAGTAGATCTATGAAGATAGAGTTTTAAAGAGGTTTACAGCAAATATGGTTTCGAATCCATTTAAAATATTGATATTACATTTCATTTTTTTCATTTCATTTATTCCACTTCTCATAAAAAAAAAAAAATTTACATAAAATATCTGATTAACACAACATAACAAAACAAGAAAATAGCATCACAATATTAAATGAATTTAAAAAGAATTTTAAGCACCTAGAACTAATACTTGAGACTGTGGTGGAGCCAACAGAGGCCATTGACCTGTCATGATCCAACCATTCTTTTGTACAGTAATCGGAGTGGTCAGATTTTTGTTGATATAGTTTAATAGAATACTAACTGGTCTGCAGTATACCTAAGGATTTGTGAGGAATCTTATTTTTATAGATATCTCTTGATTCCTATAAACCCTGCCTTACATGTTTTCTCTACTTGATTGTATACGCATACCAGTAGGTGATTTTATCCTACTCTAATAATAACAAGTGCTAAGAGAAGAACACAGATTTTCTAAACAACACAGTATTTATACATCTTTCCATTTCCAAAAGATCATAATCATTTTGAGACAGTACAGTGCCCAGAGGAATCCAATGTAAAATTAATTCTTACGCCATGTTGTCGCCAGAGTCGAAGTTGCCGAAGATGCCAGCGCTGGGTTTGGATAGCGCTCGGATGATGTTGATGAGCATCTCATCCTGTGGGGAGGGCGTGGTCACGGAGTCTGGGTTGGACGTCATGTTGAAGATGAGAGACTCGACGGCAGGGTGAAGGGCCACTACCTTGGCTGCGGCCTCATGGGACATTCTCAGTTGGACCCTAGGTTAAAGAAGAAAGAACAATGCTTGATTTTATAATTTATAGCACCATAGTCTTAATCCACATTCACCACTCTCCACCCAGGTGTTAAATGAGTACCCAGTAGGATTTGAAATGTGGTTAGATTAGCAAGTGTGTGCTTGTAAAAATGAGGCCTGGCTGGAATGCTCCCGATGGAGAGGAGAATGTGCATACATTGTGTGTGTCCGCGCTCTCATCTTCCTGCTAAGGGACCAATGGTGGGGTGAAAGGTCAGCATCTTGTCTCCTGTCATACTCGATTGGTTCCTTTGGACCCTCACTCACAAATAAATGACATCCGAAGACACTCTCTTTTATAATTCAAAATCATGAGTCTAGGTTTACACTTTTATCTTTTATCATACAAATTACAAGTAGCATTCTTTCAAATTACACTGATTTCTGCCCACATAGTTTTTTTTTCCACAAGGAAAACACTATTGCTGCTAATTTGATGAAGAAAACATGATCAAGTCATCTAACTGGTAGGTTGAGAGATTTTAACTTAAAAGATTTTCTGTCCTGATACATTATTCTCCATAATGAAAGTGTACGGACACAAGAAAATATTAAAGTTGCCAACTTAAAACTAGATAGAACTTCAACTGCGCGCAGTCGAAAATTATCTAATCAGTTCATTGGCTCAGCAAGATACATACATATCCTGCGTTTGATGGTAATCTGTCCATCGATTCTAATGTGATCACCAGCTATTTATGCATACATGAGCCCTGTGACCTTTGACCTCGTGACAAATCTGATCAATTCATTGGCTCTGCAAGATACATACATGACCTAAGTTTGGCAGAAATCTATCAATTGGTTCTTGGGATAACGCGATCACAAGCTACTTTTTTAATATTTCACTAATGAAGGAAAAAGTGTTATCTAAAGATCATAATTGAGAGACCAATGGTGAGAGCGACCAGTTGCCTGAATGGCCTGCAAGAGTTAAGTCCTTAACTTAGAGTCAATCTTAGTCTTTGTGAAACACTCCCCAGGGATGCTTTACATCACTTACCAGTCATCCAACTTAATGATTCCTCCACAGGACTCCACCTTACGAGCTCCTAAGAGCAGGAGATGGAGAGGGGACACCATGGTCATCCCCTTGGCCGATACGGCTCGGGTTCGGATCTGGAGAAAGGAAGACAGACAAGAATCTAACTATGAGGGGGAGGTGTCGTGGTCGAGTGGATACGTCTCCGGACTATCGATCACAAGGTCCATGGTTCGAGTCTCGCCGCGACACTAGTGTCCTTTGGCAAGACATTGATCTACATTTGCCACACTCCACCCAGGTGAAGTAAATGGGGACCTGGTAGGAATTTATTCCTTGAAACGCAGAGCATGTGACGGCTGCTCTGCTAAAGCCAGGGTAATTATGCTGCATTATTGTAGAGCGCTTAGAGACTTCTGATAAAGTAAGTGTTAGGCGCTATTATAAGGAAATATAATGATTATTATTAACCGTATCAGACATCTGAGCAGGGCAATTTTTTAATGTTATTGCCCTCAAGGTTTTGATGGATAAGTCAACAAAATTACAAGAAGTTAGTCCGCTCAGAAAAGACAATGGGATTTTGTGTGTGATTTGGCGGGCAATATAGGTTATACAGTAAACCAATGAACAAATATTTTAGCCCGCTCAGAACATTCAATGGGATTTGTGTGTAATTTGGCGGGCAATATAGGTTATACAGTAAACCAATGGACAAATATTTTAGCCCGCTCAGAAAAGTCAATGGCAAAATGCGTGTTAAACTAGTGAGCAATAATGTAGATCCAGTTGTAATTTACATCGCGCATCAGCTACTGTAATTTACATCGCGCATCGCGTATAAGAAAATGCGCACTTTGCGCGAACTCCATTGTGACGTAACAATCACACCCTAGGCAAACTGTTTGCAGTGTATCGAAAATCTGTCAAACACTGGATGAACAGTGCTGATTTGACAATGTTTTTGCAACTTCTAATGCTAGGAAACCCTGTGTAGCCTACATAATTTAAGAGTATAAGATAGTAAGAGTTTCTTGTTTGCTCGATCTAGATGTCTGATGTGGTTAATAATAGTAATATTGACTGCCTAATTCAGGGCAATACGACTTGTCATATATCACCCTCACCTACGGTTCGGGCGATATATGTCGTATTGCCCAGAAGGCAGTCAATATTACTTAATTATCATGAGCGGAGTGATAGATTGTTGAGCTTTTATATCCTGAAGCGTTTTTATATTCCAAAGTAACGTCCCTTAAAGGCACTGTTTAACAATGTTAAATCTGAGATGCATGACCCTACGTGTTATCAGTGTCTGTGATATGGTGTAATATTGAAGCCCTAAAAAAATAATGGGCTTCAAAATAAACATGCAGTGCCTCAAAAAAGTAAAAATCTTTGAGTGACCGGTTTTACCATACTCATTTTTCCCAGTAGACTGTAGTGTTATAAAAACAGTTAGGAAAATAAAAAAATTAAATTTCGATTTTCAATCATAAATATCTTGATAATCAGACAGGCGATTGGCTAGTAAAAGTCATGGGATTCCTGACTGACCTAAAGGTTTATAATTGTGATTGCAGCACGAGCTAAATCCAGGATTTTGTTTCATAATCTGAGCCGGCAATGTTACCAAGTCACTTTAATCTTGGAATTACCTCCCTTTATGACGGCAATGTTACCATATCATGATTGCATCATCAAATGCAAGAATAGGAACATACATACACCATAGAGGACTTCACAACAAGCTTGAGCTAAAGACCAGACATCAGTTAATTATTTTGTGTCCATTTCCATAGTAACATATGTTCTTTTTTCATTTATATGTCATAAACATCTATCAAAAGGGCAGAGTATTATTGTCAAACAATATCACCATGATATTTCCACGACTATGATTTTCTCACAACCACAAGGCAACATATTTTGTACACATAAAATTAAGATTATCTATTCTCTCTTTTTTTTAGAGAGAGAGAGTGAGGGAGAGGGAGGGAGGGAGGAAGGTAAGAAAGAAAGAGAGAGACAGAGACAGAGAAAGAGAGACAGAGACAGAGAAAGAGAGACAGAGAGACAGAGAAAGAGAGAAAGAGAGAGAGAGAGAGAGAGAGAGAGAGAAAAAAAAAAAGAAAACAGAGAAACATCAACAAGGACCCACCTTCTCTCCAAAGACAAAGTATGGAGAAGGGAACTGCTGATCAAACTTGGAGTAGTTGACCGATGACTTGTGGATGAGGGCTGCTTTGTTCTCAGTGGTCAGCAGCTTTCTCTTCTCCTTGTGGAAGCAGACGTTTGGCCAGAGTCCTGTGGTCAGCAAGGATACCACAATGTCCAGCTTGGGGTCAGGTGCGTGGAAGTTAAAGATCTGAGGGGCTAGGCACTCTGTAATGCATGGAAATTAAAAAAATGCACATTAGATAAACAAACTATCATAGAACTTTGTATTGAGATTCTTGAATCATCCTTTCGTCTGCAAACTGGCACCTTGACAACTTTTTTTAAAGGAATTACTTGCAGCTGATTTGCCTACTCTACTTGGACTTAAAGGTAATACAAAGTTTTGGGAAATTTTGAAAATTGGCTAGATAGTGATTCTTTACAATTTTGATATATTTGGATGCCCCTATGGATGGACAATAAGCAATTAAAAAATTAGCTCCTAAAACACTTCTGCTTTGAGAAAAATTGAATATAAAAATTTACCGGTGCTCCCGGTAAATTTGGATAAATTTCAAATAGCGCCTACGGCCATACAATGGTGGCTGCGACCCTGAAAATCTCAGAATATGTAGTTGTGATATATAACTTCCAAACGGAAATAGCGAATTGGTCGATTTTAGTCAAGAAACATTGTTTTATAGTTAAATTAATACATTGACCTTGAGAGGGAGCTATACAACATACAAGCTTATTATTTACAATTTCATAACTTTAGACTCGATTTCAACCGCGACAACGATCACTGAATATTGTAGGATCGCATATGCTTCCAATATGTTCATTTGAACCAAATTCATGACCCCATACCAAAACTTTGTATTACCTTTAAGAACATACAATGTAATCATCATGTATTTACTTCCTTTGATCAGGTGTTCGTATAATAAACTTTCACAAATTTAATTTTACTCCATATTTTCACATTTCCTATTTCACTTTAATATTTCAGTAATGTAAAAAATGTCTACATAATGATACGTACCTTCTGGGAAACCTTCCATCACAAGGATGTCTTTTAGTTGATTCTGTTTGATATAGAAGAAAAAACATATAACAATTAGAAGGCCAGAGTAACATGATTCATACACTGTTAAATAGTTTTTAAAAGATATCATCATCATCATCACCATCATCATCATCATCGCCATCATCATCATCATCGCCATCATCATCATCATCATCACCACCACTGGCACCACCGTCAACACCAACACCACCACCATCATCATCATCATCAACATCACCACCATCATCACCATCACCACCACCACCACCACCACCATCATCACCATCACCACCACCACCACCACCACCACCATCATCATCACCATCATCACCATCACCACCACCATCGCCACCATCATATCATCACCAAAATCACCATCACCATCACCCTCACCATCACCACCATCACCATCATCACCATCACCATCACCATCACCAGGAACCCCCACCCCTTAACCACCCCCCCCCCCCCCCCCCCCCCCTGAGTAAAAAAACAGAAGAGGATTCGGGGGAAAAAATGGCATCTTAGAGTAAGAAAATTGGGGGAAAAAGGGAAAATAGGGAAAAATAGGGAAAAATAGAGAAAATAAGGGATAAAATCAGGGGAAAAAAAATAGGGAAGGAAAAAAAAAATAAAATAAAAATAATTGGAAAACCAATTTAAATCGGGCAATTATCAGGTCTGTCATCATCAAGCACCCTAGTGAAGGGACTTACCCTTGCTTCATAGATCATCCTGAGAGTCATCATCTGTAGTCCCTTGTGATCACAATAGTTCATGGCAGTATCCTCTCCGGATTGCCTGCAACCATGACAATAGGATAATGCTTGCATCAATAGCTACCAAGTTATTTCACATAATTGATAGAAAAGACAGTTCTTGCGGTATATGTACAAACGTGTTGAAGAGAAATATAAATTCCTGGATAAGGTTGAAGCATTTAAAGTTCTAATAAAGCCTGATTTTCATCATCTCTAGAAGGATTAACTTTTCTACAAAGTCTGATAAATGAAATGGTCAAAAAGGTTACTATTTGGTTGATGCCAGCACAGGTATTGAAAACTATTGGCAACGGTAAAGAACAATCTCTACCGAGGAAAGTAACTTACAACTGCTCCTCCCACTCCTGGAATGCAGCGAGTGTTGCTATGTGGTCGCTATGTCTCATGCGGCAGTAGTTACGATGGACGTTGCTGACCTTCCCGGCGAACGTGATGAAGATCTCCGGGAAGCACATGCTGCTGGCTATGATTGCCAGAGCGTCACCCACACTGTAGGGCAATAACAATATGTTCTTGTTGAATGCACTTTCTATTTGAAAAAATGTATTACAGTCAAATCTGCTTTAGTGACCACCTGTCTACAAAGAACACATTTTTGTTTCCCTAGAAAATGGTTTCTCATTGAAACATGTACCGAAGGAACCTGTCTAAAAAGACCATTTTTTTGTAATTCCCTTAGGCAGTCGCTATAGACAGGTTTGACTGTACTTACAATGTCAAAGTTCATGCAAAGTTTCCTCCTTCTCTTTTTTTTCTTTATCTTCGCTTTTTGTTGTTGCTATCTTGATTTCAGTTAAATATATGTTGCGAAGTTTTTGTTATTTTGTATATTTTGTTAGGATCATTTCTAATGAGCCATTTATGTGCTCTTCATGGTCCTCCAACTTCTGATATCTCTTTATATATGTTTGTATTGAAGATTGTATAATTTTGACTTTATCTTGACATGGAAATAAATAAATGAAATGAAAATAATTTGATGACAGCACTGGGTCAATAAAGTACCATTGTGTATTATATTCAAGTCCACACAGCTTGGTATGCATATAATTATTTAATTGATCTCAAAGTTCTTCATTCTGAGATGTAGAGGAATATTGATAACACTTTCCTTTGGCATAAGGCATGTATTCAAAGTTGTTACTTTTTTATATTTAATTTAAAGTATATTTACAGCTTTTTTTAATGATAACATGATTTACAATGCCTAGGTAAACATGTTGAAAATATAGATCTTATCAGCATAAAACAACACGGAAATCAAACAAAATATTTTGCAACAAACAAGCAATGCAACATTTCCAAAAGTTTGCTTAATGACCATGCAAAAATCTTAGCAATTGGACTATTAATGATTGGGATGAAGAGTAACTGCTCCCCTGTCCCTGTCCCTCCCTCTTCTGGAAAATGTATTTTTGACAAAAACTAACCTGAATAGAAATAAGGGAATTTTTTCTTCTTCGATATACTGCATTATAATGTATACTCAAAGCCCCTTCAGCTTGAATTAAATGAGAAGGTCAAAGTTTACTCACAAGAGTACACATCCAAGGATGATCATCTTGCCTAGACGAGGCTCAATCGGCATCTTGGCCAGGATACGTCCTACTGGTGTGAGCTCCTCTTGGTGGTCCAGGGCATGCATCTCTGTGGAAATCAATTCAAACATACAATCTTTAACATGTCCGGTGAATTCAGGGTGGGTGGCTATGATATGTGAGATAATACGCACATTGAAGGGAAATGAATACCAGCACATACCTGCCAACATTTGAAAATAAGAATTAGGAATTTCTAGCACGGTATGCCTTCAAAAATAAGAAATCTGTACCCTTAACAGGCGGTCGCACATGCAGCGGCAGTGTAACTGGCAATACGCGCGAATCTGAACAAAATGCAAGTTCGCTGCTTGATCATGCAGTCATTCAAGGCACGCAATACATGAACTCTCAAATCACGGCACATGATAAAACAAGCCTAATTTAGCATTAGCAACAAAAACAAAACAAAACAAAAAAAAAAACACAAAAAGAAAATCTGAAAATTCTGAATTTTTAGGTCCTAAAAATCGGTATGCAAGCATGATAGGATCGAAAAAGTGAATATATCACATCCAAGAGCCTATGATGGCAAATTTGCACAGGCAATGGTATCAGCTTTAAGAGACATAATCTACAACAACACTGACATATATTTAAAGTTCCCGTCACAAACCCTCCCTCTCCCTAATCTCTAAAAGGACATGTCCCCTGCACAACTGGCATACGTACCCTTCAGAGCTGCTACGGCCTCTACCACCGAGTCTAGCGGGGGTGGTTCAATGGCTTTACCCAAGAACTCTGCAATGGTTCCAAGTCTGAGGAGTTTGATGGTGAGGGCCAGTTCATGCAGAGGGGTACGGAAGATCTCAGGAACGGTGTGTTGCTCCAACCTAGTGGAAATAATACAAATTTTTTTTTATTTCTTTATTTTTTATATTTTTTAAAGACTGCACTACTTGTAACTACTTGCGCCCTCTATATAACAAACAATGCCTAAGCGGTACCTGTAGGTCCCCCATGATCCCCGTTTTCTTATGTTAATTGAGAGCTGATTTGATGAGATTTGATGAGATAACAACCTGTCAGTGACCATGCTTGGAGGTCTAATCCCTCCTGGTCAAACTAGTGCAGACAGGTTTTAAATGATCTTTTTAGTTTGAGGTGATGGACCTGACATGCAGAGGCTTTCTGTTTCCAACATTACAGAAAATTAACAAGCGTAGGGGCCTGCCTTGGTTAATTTGAATAAAACATGACTTCCTTGTCAATCAAAAATCAATGTACAATCCCTAGGATGAAGGATTGGTAAAATATTTTGGCCATTCACAACTCTTTACAATTTGTTTATTTCTATTTTGTCTACCTTTCATTTTGATGGTCCTTTTCTGATTATAAACACAACGATATAGTTTCTCATATGTATATTACATATTTTTACAATGTGTGACCAAAACAAATTTCCATTTGAATATAGATGAATAAAAGAATTGAATTGAATTATATTGAAGACTTGGCCTAGATCTGCCAATTTGCCCATCCTAAGTGGCAGCACTTAGAAAACATGGATGGAAATATAAATAAAAACATAAATGTAAAATAGCCAATTTATCATATTTTTACCATGATAGGAAATCTTACAAGGCAATACCAAAACAAAAGCCCATGGCCCAATATCATTAAACTGCGTAAGCTGCAATTGTGGGTGGTATTATATTCATGTGCCCCTGTGCTAAGAAAACATGCTATTTCTGACAATTGATTGTTGTAGGTCTTATTTCAATACTAAAATTAAAATAATAGTTAAATACCAAAATACTGAATTCAACAGATTCAGTCTGCAATATCCAAGATCCCTAATAACCGAAGTTTCCGAAAATGATTGAAAACTTTCCGAGCTCCTTACTTGTCAAATCTTGGTCGACTGATGAGATGGAAGCAGAAGCCGGGCCTGACCCTGCCAGCTCGACCTCTACGCTGCTCAAGGTTGGTCTTGGATGCCCACACGATGGCGTAGTTTGTCATGTTGTTGTGAGAGGTGAATAACTTCATCTTAGCTCTTCACAGGAGAAGAAGAAGAAAGAGAGAATGGTTTCACGTTAATCAAGGAGCACTGTATATCATCTAGACTTGGTATTTGCTGTGTTTTGTTTCCTTTTATTCTTATCAACTTGTTTTCTGTTCTTGAATTTCTTTTAATTCTTTATGTTTCATATTTAATGTGTTGATTTCAAATGGCTTCCATTTGAAATGTGTTGATTTCATAATATAGATATAACCAGGATAGTTTGAACCACATAGAAATTCTTCACAATCTTCAACAGTAACATGCATTTATATCATATCATCATTTATAAATTTTTCTTGATGCTTCCAAGTTTCATTTGTCCGATAATCTTCGAAGAATCTACCAACACACTTACTTGCAGATGTCCACCACGTACACTACATCGTTGATGGTGATGCTGGTTTCAGCAATGTTGGTTGAGAGGATGATCTGAGAAGCAAATCATAAAAGGGAAAAAATAGATCAATACTGGTAACATACACAGTATTATACATACTGTACATGTACATGTACATCCTTATTGCAGGTGAATATCACAGAGTGTTATCAAGTTTGTACACTCTCAATCAAGAAACAGGGGAAACAAAATATCTGGGCCCCGTTTCATAAAACTTGTTGTCAATAACAAGCTTCAAACTTCTATTACAAATTTGCTCTCAGCCAATCAAATGCGACAATTTCAGTAGCTTATAACAGTCATTGCAACTTGTTATTGATAACTAGTTTTATGCAACAGGGCCCTGAACTCACTATGGCCAACTGACAGTGCTTACATAACAAAGGTATCTACAGATTTTATTTCATGAACAGATAAAGGTAACTTGAGACAAATTTGAGTAATCCACAAAAATGAAAAATGAAAGTTAAGTAATCATTAAAGTTTATGCTGAGAGAGAGAGATCTGAATGTATTATGAGGATTCTTTTTTCTTACAAAATGAAAAGAGATAACCCCACAGCTCATCCATCTTTATGAGCAGTTATTCTAAAATGCAGTTTGGGACTTTTTTCCATTAAAGAAATATGTGTTTTTTTATTTGTGATGCACCAAAACATAACCTTACCACATATTTGGGACAAGCACAACCATCGGAGTGTTTCACAAAGACTAAGATTGACTTTAAGTTGGACTTGAACTATGGCAGGTCATTCATGCCACTGGTTGCTCTCACTATTGGTCTCTCAAGGGATGTCACAAATCTACAGAATTTACCTTTTGATAGTTCATTGTTGAAGAAAAAAAAGTTACTTTCACTGAAAACTAAAGTTATATTTAAGACTTTGACATATATTATGGTATGCGATTTATGCCCTTTATAAAGTCATAAACCAGATGTGAAAATCACAATAAGAGGGAAAAAAACTTAGGCTTTAGAAATTATGATCTTTAGATAGTATTTTTTCCTTCAATAATGAGCTATCAAAAAATGTATATTCTGTAGATTTGTGACCCTGATTTGTACGTCCCTTGAGAGAACAATGCCAGGAATGGTGAGAGCAACCAGTGGCAAGTCCAACTTATAAAAGGGACTGGGTATCTTTGTCTCAGATTCTAAACAAAATCCTGGATTTAGCTCATGCTGCAATCATAATTATAAAACATTTAGGTCAGTCAGGAATCCCATGAGGTTTACAAGCCGATCGTCCGTCTGATTATCAAGATATTTATGATTGGAATTCAAAATTTCAAAAACGTTTTTTATAACAACACAGTCTAATGGGGAAAATGAGTATGGTAAAGATTTTAAAACTTTTTTGAGGCACTTCATTTTTCCACCATATCACAGATGCTGATAACACGTAGGGCCATGCATCTGAGATTTGGCATTGTTAAACAATGCCTTAAGTCGATCTTAGTCTTTGTGAAACGTTCGCCTGAGCTTCGCCAAACACTAGCTATCATATATCATCACCTTGGTGACTCCTTCTGGCATGGTATCAAACACCCTATGCTGTTCCTCCTTGGGGATCTGGGAATGGAGTGGAAGGATGCAGAAATCACGCCCACCTGAAAACAGTAAGAGAAAGATAAGATGTCTGGTATCTATCAATCTATGTGTATGTCCCAAAGCTAAGAAGCTTTCAGAGCAACAGAGGGACAGAGCTTGAGATATATTGTCATGTGATATTAAAGGTAATGCAAGTTTGGGAAATTTTGAAAATTGGATGGATAGTATTTCTTTAAATTTTTGATATATTTGGATGCCCCTGTGAATGTATTATAAGCACGAGAAAATTTAGCCACTAAAACAATTCTGCTTTCGAGCAAATTGAATAATCAAAATTTACCAGTGCTCCCAGTAAATTTCAAATATTTCAAATAACGACTAAGGCCATTCCATGGTAGCTGCGGACCATGACAATCTCAGATTTTAACCGCGACAACGATCATTGAATATTGTAAAATTGCATATGCTTCTAATATGTATGTTCATTTAAACCAAATTCATGGTCCCATACCAAAGCTTTGTATTACCTTTAAAAACAATGAAAGATAAATTCAAACATAATTTTGGAGAGAAAAAAACTTGAAACAAAAATCAATAATCAATGGAATGCGTAAGAAGTATGCGTTTTCTTTAATATACATTTTCTTGTTTTTAAAAAAAAATAAAACATATAAGGGTCTGATTTACTTTTTCTGCAAACATGGAGTATCGCGACTCACCAAATTTGGGATGTTCTTGTAGATGTCTCATGAGAGCAAAGATCCAGTTCCACCCAGGGAGGAAGAAGAGAATAGCTCCAGGTACACCCAATGTACCGATGTAGGTGAGCAGGCTCTGAGAAACATAGAGAGAAAATTCAAATTCAAACCTTATTGATTTCAATCCAATAATAATAATTCCGCTTTTATATAGCGCTTAGAACATCTATGATGTCTCTAAGCGCTTTACAGATATACTATTACCCCGGTCATTGGATTCAATACTTGCCCGCACACACTGTGTGCACAATCTCCACTCACTTGAAGATCAAAACTGTTTGATAGGATAGGATAGGATCATTCTCAATTTGTTATACATTGGATAACAAATTTCAAAGTTATAGTGTAACATAGATAATTAAGTGTAAGAGTAAAGATAACAATAACCAGGAGTGACACAAATTAACATACTACTGCATGTCATGCCTGAAATATAATACAGGGATGAGAATAAATTATATTACTTGTAATACTTTAAACAATTTTTCCCCTTTTCTTTTCAAATAAAAAGTAATAAAAACTAGATGGAATTCGACTGCGTGCAGTCGAAAATGATGCCTCCGTCATAGAGCAATTTTACAAACCAAAACAGAAGAAATTTTTCGAATTCAAGTTCAATTGTAATCCATTGACAGGTTCTCAGAATATCGTGATTACAAGCAATTTCTCATATACATATATGACCCTTTGATCTTTGACCTCATGACCCTAAAATCTACTCAGTTCATTGGCTCTGCAAGATGTCCTGAGTTAAATAGTAATCCATCTGTCAGTTCTAATGAGAATGCGTTCACAAGCTATTTTTGCATACATAATGAGCCCATGATCTTTGACCTTTGACCTTATGAACCAAGAATCTACTCAGTTCATTGGCTCTGCAAGTAACATACATGACCTAATTTTGGCAGGAATCCATCAATCGGTTCTTGAGATAACGCGATCACAAGCTGTTTTTGCATACATAATGTGTGCTGTGGCCTTTGACCTTTGACCTCATGACCACTAAATCTAATCAGTTCATCGGCTCTGCAAGATACATACATGACCAAAGTTTGGCAGGAATCCATCGATCGGTTCTTCAGATAACGCGATCACAAGAACGGGACGTACGTACGTACGGACGGACGGACGGACAACCCGAAAACATAATGCCTCCGGCTACTTCGTAACGGAGGCATAAAAATATATAAACATATATATACAACATGATAGTAAGACAATAGACCTAGAGTTTTATATATAGGATTTCTGTTGGAAGGGGGGGGGGGTATTCTATATAGGGTATTTAATGTTTATATTTGATTTTTACCCCTTTTGTTTTCATTTTCATATGGTATGTTCAGGTGCCTGCTGTTTTACAAGCCTTATGCTTTTTTCAAAGGTAGCCTTCCATCTATCATTTTGCCAACTTGTGTATCTATCACTATATCTCATGATCCTAAAATCTAATCAGTTCATTGGCTCTGCAAGATACATACATGTCCTGAGTTTGATAGTAATCTATCCGTCACTCCGAACGGCAAACCTTAAAACATAATGCCTCTGACATAAAAACCTGTAAGGAGTACAAGTTTATCCAAGATACAACTGTGTACATGTATGAAAGATATGAAGAAGTACAATTTGGAGTACACACATGCTCAAGCGCAAAAATATTCATCTCGGCAAAATACTGAAAATCACATTTTACCTCAATGAGGTCAAAGTTCATCTCCTTCTCGCTCATCTGCATGAGAGCTCGTCTCGTCTGCTCCGAATACTCATGGCTGATATTCTTGTTCATGTTCTCCTGTTGTAAAAAAAGAGAGAAGTTAGGATACAGATGACCTAATCTACGCCAATGTCTGACTCAGAGATGCCAACCTCTTGACACCAAAAAACAGACTCCTAAGTATCCTTAAAAAAAAAATCAGATTTTCACGAAAATTCGACACTACAACTGGCCCGTCAGCCCCGGGCCAGTAAAATTTCTCTTTCATTAAAATTTAATGAGATAATTTTATAAATTTTAAAGCAAACTTTTGGGGTTGCGGGGGTTTATTTTTTTATATTTAAAAAAAAAAAATTTTTAACAAAAAAGATGAAAAATCGTATTTTAAGATTTTAAGATCATATTTCACTCTTATTATCGTACTAAATACGATTTAATCATACTGGTTGGCATCTCTGCTGGCTGCATGAATATGACAATTGAATTGAACACTGGTAGATATATCCGCTGATTGAAGCACCAAATGATGAGGATGTATTACCTAAACTTAAATCATGTTGATGTAAAAGGGAATCGATCGTACAGAAAATAACTGGGTTTACACATAGAAACCCATTGTAATGATGAAATAAATTTCCTGTTCTCATACAGCACATATTTAACAATGCTATGCACTTCTAAAGTCATTTGAATTGTTATGCTGGCTGTAGCCTAGCTGCCCCTTTAAAGGCACTGAACCACTCATAGAGTTTCTTCCAACCGTACTCATTTACCTCACCAGGCTCGTGTGTGGCAAACATACATTAACATGTTGACTACTTGATTCTCACAGTCCCATAGGCTTAATACTGGAACCACCTGGTTTCCGTATGGAATGGGTTAATGTCTTGTCAAAGATCACTGTGCTGTGGTAGGGATTCAAACCCTGTACATTGTTCTCCACATTCCAGTTAGATATCCACTATCCAACAAAACCTCTACATACCACAATCTCCACTTATAACAAACATACTAATCATTCAGAATTACACAAAACAAGAGAAAAAAACAACTAAATATGGCTGCAATCCATTTCACTTGTATGGGGGAGAGAATTCCATCTATAATAATAATACATGAGATTTACACAGCGCCATTATCCATTTTAATTAAATTCTCAAGGCGCTTCAAAATATTAGGGAATACATTACATCATGACAAAGAATCGTGTACATTTACATAACAAAGAAAATGCAAAAATGAAAGAATGAATGAATGTCTGTCTTCAAAACGCGAAATTGAATAAATGGGATTAAGGTTGCTCTTAAAAGACGTTGAATAGTCAGAGTTCTTCAGCTCCTGTGGAAGTGAATTCCACGGGGCTGGTCCGGCATGAGCAAAAGCTCGTTCCCCCCAAGATTTCTTTGAAAGCGGTATGTGTAGAAGACCAGAGTTGGAGGATCGGAAGGTACGTGTGGGGTGAGGTGAGGTGAACTAAAGACTGGTTGTATTCAGGAGCTGTTTCTGTTCATGATTTGATGAACTAAAAAAAACTAATAGAAGGATTTTGAAAATAATACATTCTTTTACAGGCAACCAATGGAGATTTTGTAAGATCTAACTCACCTCCCCTTCTCCATCATCATCATCATCACGGTCATTACTCCTCTTCCTTCTAGTGTCAAGTTTGGGCACAAACCCTAACATCTGAACTACATCCTCGAGATAGTACTCTGTAGGGAAGAATAGACAACAGTGAAATGCAATTAGCTAGTGTTTGTAACAATAAAAAAACATACTGATAATTCTGAATTAAACAAAACAAGAAAAACAGTATAAATATTGTCCTAGTATCTGAACTACATCCTCTAGTTGGTACTCTGCAGGGGAGAATAGACAACAGTGAAATGCAGTTAGCTAGTGTTGCTTTCTTCGCCATCTCTAACAATAACAAAACATACTGATCATTCTGAATTAAACAAACAAGAAAAACAGTATAAATATTGTCCTAGTATCTGAACTACATCCTCTAGTTGGTACTCTGTAGGGAAGAATAGACAACAGTGAAATGCAGTTAGCTCGTGTTGCTTTCTCTGCCTCTCTGTACGGTCAATCGTTTCCAACACATGCAATTTTGCACAAGACAATAGGTGCCAATTCACAGGAGGATTGCTGTGTGTTACACAATAAATTAGCAAAATAACCCATTTCCAGTCTTGATTAGCTCCATCACAACCCTTTTTAATGCAGGTACACGTGTACAGTGGCTTAATATTGCACTGGAAACGGTTGATAATCTTCAAGCTTTTGGTTTATCTATCCGATGATAAATGCAACGTGGTACACAGGAAGAGAGAGAGAGAGAGAGAGAGAGAGAGAGAGAGGCAAAGACGGACAGAGAGTGAGGGGAAGAGGGGGTAGAACAGAAAAACTTGCAAAGAAATAAACAGTGAAAGAGAAACAGATGACAGACACACACTAAGATAGATAGATAGAGATAGATAAAGAGAGAGATAGTAGGATAGAGAGAGAGATAGAGAGATAAAGAAAGTGAGAGAAAGATAAAGAGAGAGAGAGATAGAGTGAGAGAGAGAGATAGAGAGAGAGAGAGTGAGAGAGAGAGAGAGAGAGAGAGAGAGTGGGAGAGAGAGAGAGACAGAGAGGCAGAGAGAAAGGAGCAGAAGATGATGGGAAGAGGAGAGAAGAAAGAAAGAGTGCTCACCTTGCACTGCATGTGCTCTTCCATAGACCTCAATGACAGGGCAGTCCAGGAAGTAGTGGCTGAACATGGTGGTGTCGATGGTAGCAGACATGAGTATGATCCTCATCCCGGGGTTAGCCTTCAACATGTCCCTTAGTACGACCAGCAGGAAATCAGTCTGATGGAGAGAAAAAAGGTGAGGAAGGAGTTTTATTTTAATACATTTCATTCATACATTTCATTCATGCATTTCATTCACATCATTTAATTTCCACTCATGTCTTCAAAAGCTAATCGAGTGAGGCCCTATGGCTCAGTGGTACAGCAGTGGTCTCGTAACTGGGAGATCCTGGGCTCGAAACTAATTTGATGCTCAAGCGCCTTTTGGTAAGGCATTAATCCTCATTACCACGTCCTTCGAAGAGGACTCAGAGCTGTTGGTCCCCAGGCTGCTTACTTACAAGCATATACATGCTTTCTTAGCAGCCAGGTGAAAAATCTTATAATAGTTGATTTCATACTTCTACAGACATATGTATTTGTTGTTGTTGTTCTTGTAAATAAAACCACCTAACCTGGATAGCTTAAGGTTGTGAATACTTACATTTAAATCTCTCTCATGGATCTCGTCCACAATGACATGAGATATACCACGTAGACCCGCTTCAAGCTTCCTCAACAACGTACCTGGTGAAAAGAGTTGAAAAAGAACAGTTAGACAAATTTAAAAAATTGCGATGTCCAAAGATATAGTTCTCAAAATTGATTTACAGTCTTCACAAGTTTCTTTGGGTCACTGAACAGTATCAAGTCAAATTTGTCACAGTGACCACATCAGGGGGGTATTTCACAAAGATCCTAAGTCTAACTTAACTCTAAGTTGGAGTTAAATATTATGGAGAGCCATTTGTAGCCTTAAAATAAAATATATTCAGCAGCAAAAATTGAAGTATTTTAGACTTTTCATAAATTCCACATCAAGAACATGAAATCTCCTTGAAAATAGAAAATATGAATGATTTGAATAAACAATTTATGCCTTTTAAAATAACTTTCACATACTATTTTCAAAGATGCTAATGGTTTTCCATAATTGTCAAGTCCAACTTAGGATCTTTGTGAAACACCCCCCTGTTTTAATAGAGGTGGTCTCCCGTCTTTGGTAGCAACCTATATCGCCCCTCCCTATATCTAGGAACACATGCGTGCTTTAAACCTTGTCTGAAAAGGCCACTTGTCTATAGTGGTCACATGTTTTCTGTTTCCCTTGGTTTTGATAATATAGTACTGTAATTTCTCCTTAGATTTTGTAAAATAACTAGACGCTGACAAATTTTATATGTCACTTGCATCCTCTCGCTAATACTGGTATTATTTCTATTATTATTATTGTTTAATTGGTCATTCATTAAACAAAAGCACACATACCAAACAAAGGCAAAAGAAAAGTACATAAGAATATCAAAAGAAAATGTTAAAGGAGAACATGTAAAAGGAGTAAGAGGAGCAAGTGGGTCTGCAGGGTGTACAAAAAATGTAAAGCAACACTGCTGCCTGGAGGCCTGGAGGCCTGGAGGCCTGGAGGCATGTGACCTGCACTTGCTGCTCCCAGTACATAAATAAATCTATATACATGGAATATTGCAAGTAATAGAAGCTTGAGTAAGATAATTGGGAAAAAATAGGAAAAATCTAGGGGGGGGGGGAATAAATAAATAAAAAATCAGGAAAGCAATTTAAATCAGGTAATTATCAGGCCTGAATAAGTGATACTTTATATCAAATGAGTAAAAAATATATAAAAGTGGTTAAAAGTCATAGACGGGTTTACAGGGTAGAGAGAGAAAGAGAGAAGACAGACATCACTTACCTACAGTCATGAAGAGCATGGCCCCTAGAGGGCGCGGTCTGACGGTGTCGAAGCGCACAGAGTATCCAGTACTGACACCCAGGGGCTCGGTGCGCTCGTATGCCACACGCTCAGCAATGGAGATGGCGCTGATACGGCGAGGCTGGAGGAAAGAGAGGTGTAAATGCCAGAGGGATAGGTAATTAACCAGGTGATCATTTCTATTTAATACAAGTTTACTAAAAGTTTTAATAATAGTAATATTCCTTTTTAATATAAGCACATATTAAGTATGACACAATTTCTCTTTGCGATTTCAAAGGACTTTGGATATTATTACCCAGGCTTTAGCTCCAGGCAACCGTAGTGCTCAGTGCATTCAATAAATACATCCTACCAGGTACCCACTAACTACACCGGAGTTTAGTGTGATATGAACCCTGCTCTACGTGATTCACAATCTGGAGACTTATCCACTAGACCACAATTCTTCAACGCCTCTTGGTTTGGTATTTGTATGATTCTGCGATAATCTAATAATTCGTACTTGGTATTGTATTTTTGAAATTATCCACACAAGATGTTGGCACCAAAAGGTTATGCACTGACAAGAACCCCAACTTCTTCAATCCAACTTCAACCCTCTTCTCAAAACTAGAACTAGCCTAAACTTTAAGGCCTATCTGCACTAGTTTGGCCAGGAGGGATTAGACCTCCCTGCATGGTCACTTAACAGTTGGTTATCTCATCAAATCAGCTCTCAATTATCATAAGAAAAAGGGGACCATGGGGGACCAACGGTCACCCCTTAGGCATTGTTTGCTATATAGAGGACGCAAGTAGCTATAAGTAGTGCAGTGGGTCTTTAAACCTATCTTACAGTGTAGCTTTACTGGAATAAAACCTTGACCAAAGGTCTGATCATCCCTCCACCAACTTAACCACAATGCTTACCTGAGTGACAGCAATATTGCACTCAGCTCCTTTCCCTCCTCGGATGTAGCTGTCGAGGATGAACTGTGGCACCTGGGTGGTCTTCCCGCATCCCGTGGCCCCCCGTATCACCACAACAGGGTTCTGGTCTATGGCGTCCAGGATCTGCTTTTCGGTTTGGAAGATGGGCAGGGACTGGCGCTCTTCTTGGATCTAGGATGAAGAATGAGGGATAAGATGTTATCTTTGATCTATAAGACTATGTGACAAGTATTTAAAGGTATAGGGGAGTGTTTCACAAAGACTAAGATTGACTTTAAGTTGGACTTAACTATGGCAGGCCGTTCATGCCACTAGTTCCTCTAACCATTCCTGGCATTGCTTTCTCAAGGGACGTACAAATCATGGTCACAAATCTACAGAATTAACATTTTTTGACAGTTCATTATTGAAGGAACAAATATTATCTAAAGATCATAATTGAGAGTCTAATGGTGAGAGCAACCAGTGGCATGAATGGCCTGCCATAGTTAAGTCCAACTTAAAGTTGATCTTAGTCTTTGTGAAACACTCCCCAGGTCTTGTGGATGAGAAGTGTAGAATTAAAAGTTATGGATTTGAGCACCTGCATAATAATTGTGTTTTCAAATGAAGCATTTAATGTACATTGTTTCTCTCTATTCAGGTGTAAAAATGGGTACTTGTGATAATGCATAGATGTTTGACATATAATTCGTCGCTGTTTTCACGAAGTGAAGGTAGTGAAAAAAAATTGCATTCACTTTGGTTACGATTTTCCTCACTACCGTCACTTCGTGAAAACAAGGACGAATTATGTCATATCAACATTATTATCAATACTGAAATATTTATGTAGGATGTTAAAACATAACTTTGCACTTCATTTTTCTTTTAATTGTTTGTATTAATTTACAAAAATGCATCCTACCTGGTCTAGGTTAGATTTTTGAAATCAAGATTTTCACATCACATCATATCATATTCATAATGTAATTTTCAAGAAGAGACTATCATGATTCATTTATTTAAAATAGCAAGTTGAAATTTCTTAATTTGGTTCCATTCTTCTTCCCTACAAATGATACACTGTAAAACACAAGAGTGTAATTTATAGAAAAGTATATATACAATGATAGATCCCTATAAAACTTTGCATGCCCTCTATTCATCCCATGTTATGGCACGAGAGGAATAGACGGCATGCAAAGTATTTTCAGAAACTCTTTAGCTTATCACTAAAAGAGAAGGTTGAATTCTGGGAAAAGGTTTGTGAGCTTTTCCATTCCTTTGATTTTAGTGTGGAAGAGTATCATAGAACTAGATGGAATTCGACTGCGCGCAGTCGAAAATGATGCCTCCGTTATAGAGCAATTTTACAAACCAAAACACAAAAAAAAAATTGAATTCACGTTCAATGGTAATCCATTGACAGGTTCTCAGAATATTGTGATTACAAGCAATTTCTCATATACATATATGACCCTTTGATCTTTGACCTCATGACCATAAAATCTACTCAGTTCATTGGCTCTGCAAGATGTTCTGAGTTAAATAGTAATCCATCTGTCAGTTCTAATGAGAATGCGTTCACAAGCTATTTTTGCATACATAATGGGCCCATGACCTTTGACCTTTGACCTTATGAACCAAGAATCTACTCAGTTCATTGGCTCTGCAAGTAACAAACATGACCTAATTTTGGCATGAATCCATCAATCGGTTCTTGAGATAACGCGATCACAAGCTGTTTTTGCATTCATAATGTGCGCTGTGGCCTTTGACCTTTGACCTACGTGCTCCAAAATCTAATCAGATTGTCTTCCTATGGTGATACACACTATCATTAAGTTTGAAGTTTTTACATCTCCAGTGGTTCTTGAGATATCATGATAACAATCTCAATGTATGGAATTTCATAAGTTGACCTCTGTGACCCTTGACCTTTGACCTACGTGCTCCAAAATCTAATCAGATTGTTTTCCTATAGTGATACACACTATCACTAAGTTTGAAGTTTAAATCTCCAGTGGTTCTTGAGATATCATGATAACAATCTCAATGTATGGAATTTCATAAGTTGACCTCTGTGACCCTTGACCTTTGACATACGTGCTCCAAAATCTAATCAGATTGTTTTCCTATAGTGATACACACTATCACTAAGTTTGAAGTTTAAATCTCCAGTGGTTCTTGAGATATCATGACAACAATCTCAATGTATGGAATTTCATAAGTTGACCTCTGTGACCCTTGACCTTTGACATACGTGCTCCAAAATCTAATCAGATCGTCTTCCTATGGTGATACATACTATCCTTAAGTTTGAAGTTTAAATCTCAAATGGTTCTTGAGATATCGCGCTAACAAACTCAATACAAGGAATTTCATAAGTTGACCTCTGTGACCTGTGACCTTTGACCTACGTACTCCAAAATCTAATCAGATCGTCTTCCTATGGTGATAAATACTATTCCCGAGTCTTAAGTTTAAATCTTAAATGGTTCTTGAGATATTGTGATAACGGTCAAACGGGACGGACGTACGGACGGACGGACGGACGTACGGACGGACAACCCGAAAACATGATGCCTCCGGCACCACCTTCGGTGGCGGAGGCATAAAAATTGTCTCCTGATAAGGATATCTCTTCAAATGCCCTCATATTCAAAGTATGACGAGTAACAGCTAAAGGTTGCGGACCGCACTTTAAAGCCATATGTATGTGTAGTCCCATATGCACATTTCTGTGTGTGACTTTTAGCAAGACTGAGCCAATTTCTTATTCTTTTGAACCTCACAGTATACACTCAATCTTATCAGCTAAATGATCAACCTTTTCCAATTGCTTCCACACAGTTTCTTTGAAAATTGCATGACCAGAACTCAGAAAAATGAATGAAAGTGGAATATTACCTTTCTATACTCTGGCATCTGTTGTGGGCCATGACATTCTCGTTCCAACTCAGCACTTATCTGCTCCAGTGTCATCTACGGTAGGAATGAAAATAATAAGAAAATGAAGCTTTAAAGTTCCTAGAGTATAATTAACACATTACGTAATCCTTTCAGGTATATAAGAATATGTCTCAATGATAATGCCCTAAATAATAATGTCCCATGATCTAATGTTTTGTTACCAAATCTTCAATTTTGTGAGTGCTAACAAAGGTATTGCTTGTTTATATTTACACATCCCTAAACATAAAATATCATCATTATCACTATAATCTTCATTAATCATGGTCCTGTGGATACGTCACCAAACTGTGGATCTTGTGGTTCATGGTTCAAGTCCCGCCGTGGTACTCGTGTCTTTTGGCATTTATCTACATTTGCCACTCTCCACCCAGGAAAAGTAAATGGGTATCGAGTAGCAATTTGTTTGTGAATGCTCAGATACGACGCGTCACATTCTGTATTTTACAATAGAGAGCTCAGTGAAAATGAATTGACCTTTGTTGCGCACAATTTCCTTTCATTTATACGTAAAAAACTGTGAAGGTCTTCCACGTCACATCTCAACAAGCTCAACAATTGCAAAAAAAGCAGAAGCACCATAGAGAAACTTGTAGCTAAAGCATATCCCGAAAAACAGTACTCGAAGCTTGAATGGGACGGTCTTGAGGCGACACTCCCTTCATACATCAAATCAAGCAAAACAATTGAACTATTCCACAAGAATCTAAAGACCTACCTTATGCAGGAAACTTATGATGAACTCTTATGAACATATTTGTTGTTATTTCGATTTTTTACTGAATTTGAAATTTGCATTTGTCAATTGATTTGTTGATTTATTATTAGTTTGTTAACTTTAATTTGTTTTATTATTTGTATTTCAAATATTACTGGTGAATCTTTTTGTGCGCCTTGAGTGCCATTATAGGCAGATATACAAATCTTAAATTATTATTATATACTCACATGAGCTATAGGTCCTTCATCGATGTTGCAGTTGAGCCACGGGTTCCAGTTGTTCATTGGTGGGGACCAGGAGACTCCAGAACATCCTCGAGGACCTTCCGGGTTGTCAAAGACTTGGTTGGCGCTGTCCCCGCTGATTAACACAACCTCCTCCTGGCAATGACATTGATTGGAATAATCATCATTTCATTTCGTTCACGATGATTAAACAGTGGTAGGCATTTTGCGTGCGTACACTATGATATATAAGATCAGAACAATAATTTGAATCAGTTCAATTTGCTGTTGTCCAATTCCATAGAACTACATAGATAAAAACATGCAATTTTAAACTAAACAAATACAAGTTTATTAAAGGCTGGCTGTACTAGTTCAGCCAGGTCACTGACAGGTGGCTATCTCATTAACTCACCTCTCAATTAAGATAAGAAAAAGAGGATCATGGGGGACCAAGTAGTACAGTGTGGCTTTAAGATGAAATAATTGTATATACAGATGTAGATGTAGATATAGATATTAAAGGAAGCAAAGAGAGTTTTCGAGACATCTGCTTGTGGAATTTACAGGTAGATTCTGATTGGAAAGGATGATGAAAAAAAAAATGAACAATGACATATTAGTGCATGTTACTTTGATCATTATACACAAGATATTGTGACATAAATTGTATACATATAGAAAAAGAGAAAGAGAGAGAGGTAGGGGGATGAGGGAGAGAGAGAGACAGACAAACAGACAATCAGATATGAAGATACACGGTGGGGGGGGGGGGGGGATGAAGAGAAAATAAGTGCTCGACCAACAATATTTCTAGCAATTATATCATGGATTACATTTATTAATACTTAAGACTTCTAAAAAAATTCTTTCTAAACTGCTTAGAGGCATTATGCAATTTGCAGTATAGAAATATCTGATTATTTATTATCATTAATAAGCTTGATAATAAACTTCATTAGTACTACTTACAAGATTTTGTGCGGGTGGGACTGTGTTGAGATTAAGCTCAAACAGCACGTTAGCAAGCCTCTCTTCGATGTCTTGGTTCAGAGTGACATTATAAGGTTCCAGCTGGAAAAGATTTGCAGTAAACAAGAATAAATGGTTATAACAAATTACATTCAAAAAATAATTTCATGCATAAACATACTGCCACTGTGCCAAAGCGATATATTGTCTGCCCCAAACCAGAAGCGTGTAAAATGGTACAAATTAACAGACTTGTAGCGCTCAGCAAAAATAAATGTAGGTGACACTTAAAGTCCATGATTTAGTGGTACTAACACACATTTTTTTGTGACCAAAACAGTGCAAAAATTAGCAATGTGTACATCTATCTCGCTGTTATTTAATCAGCCTTTTAATCTTGACATATAATTTTGTTTTTTTGTTGGTATTATCTTTAAATTCCAAATTCCATGTACATAATTTGTTGAGAATGGTGCCCTTTTGGTAGATTTCATTGTATCGTGTGCTTATTGCTGATTGTATATTAGGCCATTCCACATAGACTGATTGGCAGTATATTCTTTAAAAAAAAAATCAATATTAACCCCAGAAATGGAGTATATACACTAATAATAGCAAATTACACCCTCACTACATATGAAAAAGAGATGAAAAAAAAAAGGAGATTGCAGTGACCAGGATTCGAACCTGGGTCTTTACATTCACAATGTAATGTCTTAACCTCTAGACAATCACGGCTTCACAACAAGTTACCCTCACTTTAACGCTTATATCAGTTATGTGTTCACTATTGCGCAATACTGCCCTTCATATCCAAGAGCTGAAAGAGGCATGTTGAAACACCACTTTGTGGGGAATTCCACAAACCCCTGGTCTGTGCTATTTATAGAATCCCTCTGCTCAGCAAGGTCATTGCCATGCACAGTATACGATTAACCATATGGAGAACTGTGAACAAGTTACATATATCGCAAACATATGCCAAGTTGCACTAAGACCTCACACTTTTTGCTTTGCTGTTTACTCAATCCCTTTCCTGAAGGAATATATAATAATTTTAGAGATATTATGTAACTATCATGATAGCCTCCTCTTGTGGATAAATTGTGCAAACATGTAAATGGTTCATCAAGTGTTAGGAATATCACTGGAAAGTAACTAGTTTGGTGAGTTAAAAGAGAAATATGAATGATTTTGGTACTTTGCAGGAAAGACAATTAAACCTGCTGTGATCAAATACATTTTCTATATTTTAAAGTACTTGATTTACTGGAGAAATGCCATGAGAACTGTCCAAAAATGTTGCTGCTGTGGAATCAACAATGTGTGGTCATAATTTCACAGTACTTGGTATCAAATGTTTTATAACTATTACAAATACGCCAAAAGATATCAAACCAGAAATTTCAGTAACCAGTATGTTCCTTTTCTTAATCATAATATCTCAAGGACCACTGTGAAATGCACTGGGCCTCAGCTTTGGAATTCCCTTTCTTTTGAACTTAAATCTTGCCCATCACTTTTAATAGAAAACATATTATTACCTCCTACTGTCATGACTATTGATCAACTTATTCATTTTTATTATGTTTGACTTTACTTTGTTAAGTTATATTCTGTGCTTGTAGTAAATATTGTCCACTTTATATATTTGTTAGGGTTCTGCCTCGATAGGCCAATGCCGTTCCCTTCCACATTTTTGTTTTACTGTAACGGATTGTTTATATAAACAAATGCTATTGTTCTTATTATTTATGTTTTTAATGGAATGTAGAAATAAACTAGAACTTGAAATGACAAAACATCTTGAGCTTGCCCTCAGACACAGTAAAAAGTGGTACTAGGTAGTGAAGGAGTTATAACTAAGAATGAGAAAAAGTGATGTACCGAATCTGCTTTCTTGGCCTTGCGTTCTCCGGTGAATGCTTCAATCTCCTTCATATGATAGAGCTGCCTGGTCAGGGAGAGAGCGCAGGACACAGACGCCACCTTCTTGTTTGAGCCTTGCTCTCGAGCATGGATAGCTGGCAGAAAGGCAATATATAAACATGTTAATAAAATCCATGCAAAGGTAATGGCACATAGTGCATTTACATTCAATTGTCAAAACTTTCTAAATACATTTAATCAATTAGAATTGAAGAAAATTTGATTGTAAGTGTTTAGTTGACTACCAAAAAGCCTTTAATAGAGGTGCTGTGGTCTAGTGGATACATCAACAGACATTAATTTCTTTGTTTGTGGTTTAAGTCCCGCTGCGGCACTCATGTCCTCTGGCAAGACATTGATTTAATACATGGTTGTAGTAAATTGGTACCTGGGAGCAATTTAGTCCCTGAGTGCTTTGAGCACCCTAGGGTAGCTGGGCTAAATCTGGGGTAATAATACTACTTTGTAGGTACCTTGAGCATCTGCTGGGATGGATATATGCGCAATTCATCATTATTTGGTATTGTATTATTAATTAAATGTGATGGAGGCTTATACACTCATGCAAAAAAAGATGCATTTGCACTTTACTACAGAAAATGGAACAGGTTTACTACAAAACATTTTGTAACATCTTACTCAAATACAAATAGTCTTTTTTCTATAAATAGCAGAAATACTGACTCAATAAATTAGTGAGCTTTCAAACAAATGATACATTATAATTTGGTACTTACTCTGGCGTTTTGATGCAAGATAGATGGACATTTCTGCATAAAAAGACCTACAACAATAATAATCATGAATACAAGGTATTAGATACGGCTCTTCAAAGTTTTATTTCGCAGATCAAACTGGAAGAAAACTTTAAAGTCAGTCTCTTCGTAGAACATCAACAATCACAGATATGCATATGCCAAAAGAACTGACAAGTTTATTTTGACTGTGGTGAGCACATTTGATATTAGGCAAATGTAAACGAGATGAAAGATAACTTGCCACTTGGTACATAGAATATCCACAAGACCAATACACTCATTTTAATCAAATCTAATAGAAAATGAGCATCGTAAGACTCGACATTAATATATGCTATAAACAGCAAATTATCTTATTATTCAGGCCTTAATCTAATCAAATAATTACATCAAATAATTACTTCAAATTATTTCAAATTTTCTTCTACTTTTTTCAAACATATGACAATGGTGGTTGCAGGGTAGAAATACTGAGATTATATTATACTGAAAACATTATTATTGGCCTAGGAAACTCAAATTCTGAAAATTTACAAAAGGTAACCACACCATAAGAATCGCTGGGCTTCATTTGGTAAATCTAAAAGATTGATTGGAACAAAGAAAATTTCTGGTTCTTCAATAAAATCTATTTTGTATTCCTTTTTGAAGTTTGTTTACCATGAAGAAAACAAATCATTAAAGGCTCTGAAGTGTAAGTACACGTAGAGAACTGGCATTTATTGGTTTCTCTATTTGAACATAGGGAAACTCACGTTTGATTAAAATAGTAATTAGAAGTATAAACATTTGTTAAGTCACTAAGGGAAATATTAAGAAAATTAATAACAAGAAGAAAACATATTTGCCCATTCATATGTTGTTGGCACATTAACTAATACCTTCTTTAGGGTAAACATACCCTTGCCTAAAATATAATAAATAGCAAAATTTAGTCAGTTTCTTTTTTTAATATTCATGTTTCAAGACAGCATCACCAATCTGTAACTCTTCATGTAAGGCTCTTTTTCCATTATGAATACAGTTTTCCTGCACCCATCTTTGCTACATGTACATGTATGTTTCTTGTTGAATACTGTATTTGAAAGGGGACCGGTCACCTAAAAAAATAACAATTTTTGTGCATCTAGCATTTACAAAAATCAACCTCAAGGTACTTTACTCCGCATTCCGCGGGTGAACAATTAAAAGGAGAATATAGAAAATAAAGAATAACATAAAAATTGAGTGCCTGTCCATATGGCTGCATCAAACAGTCTTCTTCTTTTTTTTACTGTAAGTTTTTAATACCATTAAACAGTATTTAAACTTGCAATCTCCCTTTACAGAACTAAAATTTGAAGCTGATATTTTATAACATACTGGCATGGAACTCAAAACATTCAGAAACAAAATGTTTTTAAGTGATCAGTCCCCTTCAAGTATCATTGAAACACTACACACTACAAGTGGTACTAACCATTTTCCTCAAAGACTGCTTATAATTGCTTTAAATCACGTTCCTCTATGGTCCGGTCAGACACCATCTCAGGCCCCTCCACCTCAATCCAATCATTAAGCCACCAGAAGAAAAGTGACCAGCCCATTCTTGATGTGTTCCTTTAAGCCACTATGAAGGGTTCAGTGAGTAACCAGACTAGATGAGTTACAAGTAATATCCAGTGGCATTCTGGGTAATGCGGCATATCACCTCAGTTTCTGTCCTTATCATGGATGGGGTTTCCCCTTTAGCTTGATGAAGCTAGTGTCGCTATAATCACAGGCTTTATATGACAGCACAAATCTTCAATCCCCTTGTACAATAAAAATCAACCTATTGTAATATTAAGTTAAATTCATTTTTTACAAGTACATTGAAGTCCCTAAATTTGGATGTAACTGTTCCTCCAGAGAGGCCCCTAACAACCCTTCATCCCATTTCACTTGAGAAAAAAAAAAGGAAAAATGATTAATTTTGGTTTAACTTGAATCTCATTCTTGTCAGTAGTGATATAAAGTACATTTCTCACTTTAAAAAAAAAAGTGTATTTATTTTCATATTATTCCATTTTGGGGGTCATAATCCCTCCCTCTAATATCCAAAAACAACTGAAAAGCAAATCCTTTATCATAGACCATCTAATGCACCAAGCTGTCAAAATCCTATGACTACAGTGACCCACTCTGCCCTGGTAAAAGGTGATACGCCACATTAAGCCACTGCTTTTTCACAAAATGTGTGGTTCCTCGCTGACCCCTCCAGGCGGTTGAAAGAACAGCCATCACAAAAACATTCATGAGCCCTGTGGCATACAACTTGCATTCAACTGCAGTTTCCTGCAATCATCTACCTATTCTTGCAATCAAATAATCTAAAGTTTCTTGCAATCAAATAATCTAAAGTTTCTTGCAATCACTTCTTAGAGTTCTTGAAGTCAAGTTATCCGCAGTTTTTGTTTCGCAATCAAATAATCTGCAGTCTGCAATTCTTGCAATCAAATAATCTGCAGCTTCTTGCAGTTTAGTCATCTGCAGTTTTTTTGGCAATCAAATAATCTGCAGATTAAGGTAATCACCTCAAAGTCTCCTACAAACTGACAATGACCATGCAGAAAATGGGATAACAGCATACACTGTGTACTGACAACTAGAACCAGTATATAAATTTTGAGTGGTTGTTCAGACTGCGATTTGATGGCAGTAAATTGTAGTCAACTTTAAAGTTTCTGTCATCAAATCTCAGGTCTCACTTTTTATAACCCTATGAGGATTACGCTTGTAGCACGATGCCAGAAAATCCTACTTGAGATTGGCAGTTAAGATACATGAAATTAATCAAAACTTTTGTTTAATTTACTGCAGTTCCATTATTGTTTCTTATAACCAATAAGGACCAAGCTTCTGGAATGACATCATTCAAGCTCAATGATTATTGTGGAATGTCAAGAAACTTGGACTGTAAGTAATTTTGGTTTGCATTCAAATATAACAAATCTTCACATCAAATCATCCCATTAGATCAAGTTTTTGTAAGAAGAACAGAGCTAAAAGCCTATCCTTAAATTTAAAGTTGATTGCAAGTCACATGCTTCAGGGCTCCTCGCTTATCTGTGGATCCTGGCTAACTCTGACTTGTGGACAACACAACCCTGACCGTACATTAGGGAGTCAAGTAAAGCTAGGAGGGTTTATTTATTTGCATACTTATACTTGGGTAATTCCTTGGTTTCCGCTAACTATGTATATGAATCCTAGACCTATGGAACAGGTGGCGAATCAATCATTTGACACCTGACATGCGCAGAGAGTAAAAAATTACCTTTATTTTTATGGATTTATGAACTCTTCATATTCTTTTTAATTATTTCAAAATCTCCTGGCTGAGCTCGACCATATTTTCTTTAGAGGGTGTCTTGTCCACGAATCTTAGTTATCCAGGAACCATGCATAGAAAACCGCTAATCTTGCATGAAGATCAAGTGATTACAGATCATGTGATCCAGATTCTAGCACCTGATTACGTGATGAGTATCACATGACTTATCTTCATTTCTTTACCAAATGATAGAAGAGGGAAAATTGCATTCTTAGATATGAAAGATGTAATATATCATCGGATATGAAGTCCCAAGGGTCTTTAGTAACATCAGAAAACACAAAACTTTGAACCAATAGGCATCCCACAAAACATCAATTTTAGTGATGTTTCTGATTAGATATAGGAAAATGAAATATAATTCATACATGAACTCTAAGTCCAATATTTTCCCCACATATTCATTACAAGCCATACATTTTGATATGCTATGTAATAATTATTTTTGTATATCCTCCATGTTTATTATCTGCCATACTCTTTTCTAATCTTTAGCATCTTTCCCAGAATGCAATAATCCCTTTTGTAGCCAAGAAGATCATTTATGATCATAAACCATGTCATCCAGACGTTTTATCTCATAACATGGTAGAAATCACAGATAGCTGGTTTTCCTTTTTCCTCTTCTTATAAATACCATAGACGACATTCACAAGTCACATTAAAGCACAAGAAATGTCATGTGATCAAAGACCATGTGATCCAGGCTCTATCACCTGACCATATGGTCAATATCACATGACATATCTTTTATTCATACACTGGCTGACGCTTTTCTTCTGGTTTTGTGGCTCTCAAACATTAACTTCCAATGCAAGATTCTTTAACAAGCAAAGTGGCATACTTCTAAAACAGGTCACGATTGCTTAGGAGCTACACATAAGAAATGTCATGTGATCACAAACAATATCATCAAGGTTCTGTCACCTGATCATATTGTAAGTATCACATGACATATCTTTATTCTACATTGGCTGTCACTTTTCCTCTGGTTTGGTAGCATTACTATATTCCCACCCCCTAGCATACCACATTCTTTCTTTATCATGCTATCAATAAAATTGTATTATCAATTTTTCAAACATTTATACTTTTGGTTCTCTGCTGTCTGAATTATCAAAAATTAATTGATGGACAACCTAAGATTTAAGAGCTGTTCAGCATCACTATTCAAAATAATCATGGCTACATACAACTTTGACAAGATGTGTCATGTGATACCAAGTCATGTGATCAAGGCTATAGTACCTGATCACCTGACAAGCATCACATGACACATCTTAACATCAAATTAATTTATGCTATTTATCCATGGAATCTTCTTTCGTCCTGCAAATGAAAACATCATGTTAATAGAAAATGGAAGGAAAAAAAGGCGAAAAGAAGAAGAAAACTCAAGACAAAATATTCAATTACAAACAACTCTAAGGAACTGTTGATTTTGTGCACTTTTTAAAGTTCACATTAATTAAAATGTGGTTGATCACTTGATGTAGATTTATCAAAATATCCAGTTTTGGAAATGCATGTAAACAAATATCAATAACAACTTTGTCAACTATAGGTGCCAAAAAGTTAACTTGCTTATTTTTGAGAAGGTGTACCTCTGCTGTGTATGGTCTATTTTTTCCAAAGCAAGCTGATAATGCTGATGTTAAATAATTCATGTTAGATTATTTGAAAATAAATGAACACTTAACCCTATTTAGCCCGGGCTATTTTGAAACTGCATAGCCCAGGGGGGGGCTTCTCAGGCCCCCCCCCCCCTGTGATCTCGGCCGTGAAACGCCCGATCGCCGCGAAAATTTGCATACATGTCAAGTGAAGTGTATAGAATACTATGGTAATTTCAATTTTTTTGAAAAATTCACTCATTTGCATATTTATGGTAATTTATGCAAATAAGGTCATTAAATTCACATTTTTGCCCATAAATCAGACATTATTCATATTTAAGCATGCTTTCTCACTACATATATTTGTTAGACCATTTGGAATAATAATACAACACAAAAATTTGAAAAACCAGGGTTATTCCTTATGTTATCTATTGTTTTGATAATTTCTTATGTATTTCTTTGTTTTTTTAACTTATGTATTTTATTGTTTTTGTTGTTTTATTTCATTTCCAACTATAATTCAACTATTTTGACCCCAAAATAAACACCTAAAATCTAAACAAGACCAAATAACCAATGTTTTACCTCTTTATTTGAAAAATGAGATTTCCATATGTTTTGTACACAAATCACAAAAATGAGCGATTTTCGGGCTGACATGCGAAGACAAAAGGACACGTGACTTTGTAATGGTAGGTCCGATTTTCGAAAAATTTCTTTCAAAAGTTGCGCAAGACTCAAAAGAAAAAAGTCACAAAATTTCAGTGCAAGATTTTCTTGCGTTAAAAAATTATCGCGAAAAATGAGGGGGGGGGCTTCTCAAGCCCCCCCCCCCCGGGCTAAATAGGGTTAAACTGCAGATGGGGACAGCTAACTATAGTAATCTGAAGTACACTATATGTGATAAAGCTTTTCATCTCATCCCACTACACCAAGATAATGTGAAACCTGCATAATTTGAGCATCAGCAGTCAGGGATGCTAGAAAGTATTCTAACCATGTGAGGTTCATTCATCTTAATGCAAAATTATGCTCAGGTATGTACCGATCTCTTGCACTAAGAAGCCATGTTCCAGACTACAGCTCCATGTGTACTTCAAAGCAATTTTAGGACGTCCATGTACAGTCAAACTTGTCAATAGCGACCGCCCAAGGGAATCACAAAAAGTGGTCTTTGTTGACACGTGGTCTTTGTAGACAGGTTCCTTTAGTACATGTTTCAATGAGAAACCATTTTAAAGGAGAACAAATAATGTGGCCTTTGTAGACAGGTGGTCAGTAAAGCAGGTTTGACTGTAATTACTTCTACAAAGAGGTCACTCCTAAAAGATATAATCTCACGGGGAACAAATCCATTACCTGTTGTGATCCTGCCCGACGGGTGTATACTTATAATCAGCCTGTATCCGATTGGTCTGGACGTACTGGTGGAGGCGGGACTTGGCATTGCTGATGGTCCAGTTGCCATGGATAGCGGCGTTCATGTCGGCTCCTTCGGCCTAGACGACGGCAGAGGAATAGGGAGATCATGTGAGTGGTCAATGGGGTAGTCTTAAAAGGAACAGGAGGAAAAGAGAATAAAATCCTCTTTTTTCTTTTTTTCTTTTGTTGTTGCTTGTTATTGAAATAGGCATACCCTAAAGGGATTTGAAAGGGAAACTGTTTCAGCCTCGGGAGTAAGCAACTATCGGTATTCTCTGGAGTATCTGCTCTGAACCGCTTATTATCGTATTGATAGATCCGCTTGGTCAAATGAACCTAATTTTCCTTTTTATTAAATATTAAATAAAAAATACTGAGTTTGGTGGTGGTGGTTATTTTACCTGACTGCTAAGAAAGCATAAATGCTTGTAAGTAAGCAACATCTCACATTGGAATATCTCACATTGGAAGAAAATTATCTATCCAGTAATTAGCATAAAAACAACCCCCAAAATTATCTCAGGTCTTTTGGGACTCTAATTTGGGTCTTCATTATCAATAGCATTTCAGTCAACACAGCGGAAACCTCTTTCTGGGATTACTTCATGAAAAATCTAGAACTTACCCCCCCCCCCCCATTCCATAACTACACTACCATGAAGTCCCTAGGATACCTACCTCCAGGCAATAACACCTGCCCCCCCCCCCCCCCCCCTAGGGCAATGAATCCCTTATCATTAAAGGGATCCGGTAACTTTGTCTCAGATTCTGAAACAAAATTCTGGATTTAGTTCATGATGCAATGATAATTATAAACCTTTAGGTCAGTCAGGAACCCCATGACTTTTACAAGCCGATCGCCTGTCTGATTATCAAGATATTTATGATTGGAATTACAAATTTTGAAAACCGTTCGCCTGACGGTTTTCATAACACTACAGTCTATTGGGGAAAACGAGTATGGTATAACCGGTCACTCAAAGATTTTTACTTTTTTGAGGCACTTCTTGATCATTTTGAAGCGCGATTTTTTTAGGGCTTCAACGTTACACCATATCACAGACACTGATAACATGTAGGACCGTGTATCTCAGATTTAACATTGTTAAACGATCCCTTTAAACTGTTGTGGCTTCCATCAAATGTTCAATGTAAAACAAAAAGGAATGAAACCAACAAGTAAATTACCTCTTCCAGTTTCCGCTTGTCCCCCTGCCTGTCAAAGAAACTCCTCTGATATGAAGGCATACTCCCATCATAGCTGTCTGCAAGTTACAAACAGAGATAGTGACACTGTCAACTGAATGAATGCACAAACTTAAGATAGCAAGTTCTGATGAAGGTGAAAAATAATTTGTAAGTGTTGTCAACAATATTGTTTCTGACAAAACAGTTAACCAGTTACATAACAAGCAACCAAGGGACTTACAGTTTTTCTTGTGCTCTTTGTTCCCATGTGGAAGATTACAAAAAGTAAGTATAAAATGTGAATAGGTTAGTAAACCAGTCTAATGTATTTGAAAGATATTAGGTCATTTGTATTGCATATTAGATCTTACCTCTACCACCGTGTTCCCCTCCGCCGCCATGTTCCCCTCCACCTCCTCCCATGTCCCCTGGGCCTGGACCTGGACCAGGGCCTATCCCTAGAGCCTGATGAGGGGCCGACATCCCTGGTGGCAGCGATGAAGGCCCTTCATTGGAGCTTGATGCAACGGGGGCCTAGAAAGAGATAAAGAGAGAAAAGATAGGTGATGGCAAGATGTATTGGTGTACTTTTTTTTAAATTCTTTATTGATGTTTTTGATGTTACAGTTTTCTACGATGTACAAAGGAAACAAAAAACAAACATCCACTTGATCATTTTCTTGGTTTATACCCTAAAATGTTTAATGATCACTAGCCAGAGTTCACTATTGCTCAAGCCCCTAAAGAGAAGGAAAAAAAAAACATGCTACATGGATGAAAAGTGAGGGTACATTTTATTCAATGATAAGTCATTCATCAAAGTGAATGGTCACAATCTTCACAATACAATATGGATTTTTTTTGTTTAAACATCTAGGCAGAGTATTGACAATGGTATTAAGGTTCCACCCAAACTTTCGTTTTCAGAGAGGGGAAGGGGGGGGGGGGGGGTGGGCCTAGATAGAAAATTTGAGATGTTAATTTGGATGTTCTGGAGTAATTCAGGAAATTGAAAGTGTCAAGCCCAACTCAATGATGAAATTAGATGTAATAGCCAGTACTTCATGTATACTCACAGTCACATCCATGGCTGGGATGTCTTTCTGGTTCAATTCTCCACTGCGGACCAGAAACATCAGAAAGTCTTTGGCAGCATTCAACTGGGAGTCCTTCTTGCTGGTGGAGTTACCAACACCCACATAAGAATAGGTAGGAACACGAACCTGATTCAAGCAGAACAAAAACTCTATAAATACTGATGTTCAAAATAGCAACCATTGCATAACAATAAATGCCTTGACATGTACTTCTCAAATCCTACAAAGCCGGAATAAAAATCAAAAGCCTAAATTCAGAAATAACGTCTTTCTGTAAATATCATTCACACACATGCTTCTCAGCACGACTCCATCAGACTGCCAGATGGCAGGGAAAGTTTTTTGGTCCCCCCCCACCCCAACAACCAGGTATTAATGCTAGATAGCCTAGATTTGAATAAAAAATAAATTACATGCTCCTCAGCAACCCCCCCCCCCCCCCCCCCCCCCGGAAAAAAAAACATTGCACAAATCTATTCCATCATCAATACCCAAAACAAACAAAAATCTTATTTTTTAATCAGAATTTTCTCAAACTTTCACCGACTTGCATGTTCCTCTTATTTGTTTACTTTTTTATTAAAAATCAACTTTATATGAGGGTGGACTTCCCCTTTAAATCAACTCTCCCTTCCTTCTGAAACATGCAATCAATTAGCTAACTACCATCAATCATCAAATACTACCACAATAGTGTACTACAGGTACTTACTTCACAAAGAAATCTTTGACGGTGCTTTGGACCGGAGTTGCGGATATCGTAATCGGGGGTCAACTTCTTCTTCCCCAAGAGGCTGTACAAAAATGATTTCAGCTCACTCATGGTGCCATGTATGCTTCACCTACAAAAAAAAAAAAAAAATCCAAGTAGAGAACAAAAATTTGTTTTTACAATATCCTACTCATTTATCCAACCCCAATTCCACGTCCATACTGTACTTCCACCAGAAAAAAAAAGAAGAAAAAGCTAACTACACAGTTACTAAGACATTGTTGCACAAGTGGCACAGCAATGCCCCCTCCTCTACTTCTTGTGTACTAACTTGATAGTATGATCAAGTTTATTTCTTTTACCTCTCTTAAATATGAATAGAAAACATGGTCAAATTTCTTTACTTGAACCCTTAAAAGTATTTATATCAATCACCCATACCAGTGGATATAAATGATAGGAAATGAAAGGGTTTATTATTCATTATGAGAGTTTTGCATAGAGTGAACAGAAGATCGAGTTTAATCCTTTGAATTCTTTCTTGGATATTTGGGGCCCTGAAAAGGGCCGTTGGTGTAAAATTGGGCTAGATTCTAGAAGCCCTCAAATTCTTCATCCACAATCTCTTCTTTGAAGATCGATCTCAGCACTACCATGGTCTCCTCCTCAAGGTGTTCTGGTACATGTAGGTCAACATCGTGGTTAGACATCGAGATCCTGTGTCGACTCCTGAAACCTACAGTCCAGGAAGAGCTGGCTGTAAAGCCCTGGATGCCCGCACTGTCTGCTATCTCCTTCGCCTTGCGTCGAAGAGCACGGTTCGAGACACTGCATCCTTGCTGTAGTTCCTCTGCGATCCAGACGATAAGCCGCTCTTCCAACTCTGGCCACTTTGCAGCTCCTCCCCTCAGTGCTTTCTTGTGCGCTGGAACTTCCTCTAGTTTTGCCCTTTGTGCCTTCCACTTCCGAACTTGGGACTCGTCTACTTTAAATTGCCTGCCTGCTGCCCGATTGCCCATTATTTCGGCTCTCTCACATACCGACAGCTTAAATGAGGCAGTGAAAGATCTGCGGGTCTGACGAGGCATCTTGCTGATATCGCCAGTCAAATGATGATCACTGAGAGTGAGAAAGTTTGATAGATGACTGTGACCGTACAGGATCTATGATGAGAATTTTCCATAATCCTATGCTGCATTATAGATGTTGACTGACTTGCAAACTCTGTGATATTTGCAAAACTTTTGGGTTGTGATTTTAATGACTCTTGATGGTTTTTCTATTTTTAGCCCAAGAGTAGTAAGGAGCCTATTCACTAATGAACTGATGATCATTAGACATTAGTGGGCTAGTGGTAGATAGATTAGAAAAACAATGCTGAGACTGAAAAAAAAAAGTATTCAAATGTATTGCTTATAAGGCATGAATAAGAGAAAGAATAGAACTCCTCCCAAAAGGCCAAACAAAGTGGTGGCGACTTGCAAAACAGTAAGGGCGCTGGTCTGAGAATAAGGATCGTCCGCATAAACAAGGATTGTCTCCATCAACGTGGACAGACGCGTCCTAAAAAATAAGGATCGACCACATTTTTTATGGACAATTATTATTTCTGATCTGCGCGTTTGCCATGCGAAAAAATAGATTCCGCCGCGATGATGGTCCATGATATATTTCATATTCACTTGCAGAGACTTGCACGTTATGAACAATAAATCCTCAGGAAGACGGACAACTAATAAAAGTAGACATTGAATTAGGCTTTTTTTTATTACTGAAAACTGTTTTTTTTGCACTGCCAACGCGCAGATCGGGAACCTGAAACTTGCAGAGCCAGAGCCAGAGCTAGGCAAATTCATGCAAAAAAATATATTCAAAAAATTGACTTGAAAACACATCACACAATTAGTCTGAACCGAGTCAGGAGCAAATTTGAAGAAATTATATTTTTAAATGTTGTAAAACCAAAGATATAAGAAGAAAACTGACCAAGTATCTGTACTAAAAATCGTACATGTAAAATTGGTCGTACACATTCGACAGCTGAATATGACGCGCATGGTTGCATTACGTGCGTTCTCGAATACAAAATCGTACCTCACACACACACTCTCGCCATACCGCGAATGGTCCGTCGTGGGGAGCTAGCCGGCAGAGAGTTTGCAGCGATACCAACGCAGCTTCGGAGCTCCGCAGAGCGCCATTTTAGCGGGACTCTGAAGGGTTCGCGTGGGAAGGCAGCGGCGTAGCTTTTTGTCCAAACAACGCTAGATCGGCTGCTGGCAAAATGAAAATAACTACGATCGAGAACATCGTCGGTTTCTTAACTTTTCAGTGAGATAATTATGAATTCTAATTGAGACTACAAAATAAATTAAATCGACAAAGAAACCTCGGTAGAACTCTTATAACTATACAAAAGCTTGTTTATTTCTTCATTTGACATTTTGTTTTCGACCATTTTTTCGTGCGCGAGTCAATGTAAACTATGTATTACCAAACTTTCAACACGCAAGGAACGGGGAACACTCGCGGACCTCGTAACAAATTCGTTGCAAAAAAAAAATTTCAAGGGTGATTTTGAAGCAGTGAAGAACATTGGCGCTGCAATGCGCAGAAATATACTTGAAAGAAACTTAAAAAATAATACCTGAATTTTCAGAAAATCGTATTTGTATTAGATCTATGAGTGTACCTAGATGTGACTTGTTTATAAATCAGATTTTATGAAGATTTGTCGGGAAAAAATGTCAATTTTTTCCGTTTGGTGGTCATTTCTAGGCTAATATTTTAAAAGTTGCATCAGTAACGGGCCCGATGTTTCTCTTATCGTACTCGCATGTTATTTCTACATAGATTAAACATAGGATGGTTAACAGGGCGCGACGAACCCGCTTGCCCGACGTCCCGGGGCAACCAAATTGAGCCGTCGGGCAAGTAAATCAAATTATCACTTGCCCGATTCGGGCAAGTGATACTTTTACAGTAATTTCCTAGTGTCCAAGAACTCTACCATTCACCCGTCAACTTCTTACCCGTCGTCAAAATCCAGAAGCAAAAAAGCGATCGTTCCGATTTCGAAAAAACTTCACAGACAGCTAGCCAGCTCAGCTAGCTCAGCGCGCATGCAACAGTGACACTTCAAGCCATGAATGCCGCTCCGCCTCCACGCACGGCCGGCCGTGAGCTAGCTAGAGACAGCTAGCGCGATCGTACCAGCTGCGAGCTTATTCGCGCTCTCTCTCTCTAGCTCTGCAGGCCGCACCGACAGGCCTTTGCTATTCTCTGATTGCCGATTGGTTGAATCACGCCAAATATGACGTCATTATTCTAGGGAAATGAACACGTGCGAATCGGAATGGAATAAACAACAGGGATTTTCTAGTAAGTACAAAAAGTCAAATGTTTGATATTTATTCATAATGACTGTTAATGATTGTGAACATATTATTTAAAACTCGCTGCTCATATAAATCAGATGAATGTTTTTGTCTCGTTTTCAATTTATTACTGCGGTCTCAAGATCCGACCGAGCGAGTCATTTTGATAATAGTATCGAGACCCCCAGAATATAAGCCGTTGTTGTTTTGTTTTCATGGTTTTAGCGACGTTGTTTAGTCTAGTTTTCGCATACTTATCCGAGATTTATCGTAAAATATCTTCAATATTATTATTTAGTAAGAATTTACAAATTTTGGCATGATATTTATAGCAGTGAATGATGAAATAAAAATGTCCGTACTTTATTTAAAATAGTTGATTACCAATTATTTACATGACGTTTCTTGATGGAAGAGTTGACCCAAATTATTAACAGCTGAAAATTAGCCTACGTTTCCAAATGACAGCGGCTTGCACAGACACACATGTGATGTTGCACCATGGTACATGTGGCTACCATTAATGACATGTTTGTATCATATTTTTTACAACAGGGTCATTATGCTTTTTTACATGACTGAATATTAAAAACTTAAACCTGCTTGAACCATTCTGCCTTGCCGAGATTCATGTGAATCTGATTATTTATGGAGAATCAATAAAATGCGTTTTTTAAACCTTCAACCATCCTTTGTTGACCATTTTCTTTGACATATTAGGTTATTATTCAGTACAGTTACACTGTACATGTATGTGCATTAATTTGCTATCTAAAACACTAACTTATCATTACGAGATAATAATGCTTTAACCTCGAGTCCTTTTTCGCTTTAAAGTTTTGGGCAAGTGGAAATATTGTTTGGGCAAGTAAATTGAAAACCCACTTGCCCGACAGGGCAAGTGGTGAAAAAAATTCTTGTAGCACCCTGTTAAGGGTAAGACCAGATAACATTATAAAAAAGATATATCCTTCCACCCTCCCATATCCAAGTTTTGGGCTGATTATTGCCGAACCACCGCAGCAAGGCCATTCAGATTTTCGTACGCGCGCAATGCGCCCTCTAGTGGCCCATGAATGTGCCTACCAGAGCGCTGAAGAAAAAAAAGTGTCCATCAAAATGCAGACGTAGTTGTCCGCTTTTACGTGGATATCCTCTTTTTTACGCGGACGATCCTCATTCTCGGACCAGCCCCCCCCCCCCCTAGGCCCTCCTGAAGGAAGCAATTTATTTTTACTAACAAAAAAAATCCGAGGCTTAAAATAGAATGGTCAGCCGTGCCTCGAGCTCAAGCGGGGTCCCGCCGCGGGTACAGCACCCAGGTCAGCAGGGAAGAATTAATAACATAATCACCATGTCCATGATCACGCAAGCAAGCACAAACCAGGCCAGGTGACGACTCATCACAGTTACAGTAAATAGATTTAGACCCTCTTCCATCCAAATTCAATAATAATGGCATAGTCTAGATCTATAGTAAAGCATAAACACTTACCGACAGTTTAGAAGAGGTGTTTTGTTCGTTGGAATGTTTACGTTACATGAACAAAATCACGAAACTTTCTACTAGTACTAGCTCAGTGTCAATGCAAATTGCGTGTTTACACTCGCTCGTCGAAAGATGGCGCTATATTTTATGTTTCTCCCCTTTTTTTTTGTAGAAGAAGAAGAAGAAGAAGAAGAAGAAGAAGAAGAAGAAGAAGAAGAAGAAGAAGAAGAAGAAGAAGAAGAAGAAGAAGAAGAAGAAGAAGAAGAAGAAGAAGAAGAAGAAGAAGAAGAAGAAGAAGAAGAAGAAGAAGAAGAAGAAGAAGAAGAAGAAGAAGAAGAAGAAGAGAAGAAGAAGAAGAAGAAGAAGAAGAAGAAGAAGAAGAAGAAGAAGAAGAAGAAGAAGAAGAAGAAGAAGAAGAAGAAGAAGAAGAAGAAGAAGAAGAAGAAGAAGAAGAAGAAGGAGGAGGAGGAGGAGGAGGAGGAGGAGGAGGAGGAGAAGAAGAAGAAGAAGAAGAAGAAGAAGAAGAAGAAGAAGAAGAAGAAGAAGAAGAAGAAGAAGAAGAAGAAGAAGAAGAAGAAGAAGAAGAAGAAGAAGAAGAAGAAGAAGAAGAAGAAGAAGAAGAAGAAGAAGAAGAAGAAGAAGAAGAAGAAAAGGTAATAAGTGCCCGGCTTGTTAATTCCTAAGAGGTGCCCGTTCCACATCAGTGCCGTTTACCACCTATGATAATTGCCTACATTCAAATCTGAGAGGTGCCCTTTTATTTTAACAAGTGCATTTTTCTTTCCCTCTTTAACTTCGTATATTTGATAACTGTTCCCTTTATTTTGACACATGCCCAATTTTCCTTTCAAATAAGTTCCATTTTCCTTCTGATAATTGATCCCCTTTTATTTGTAATAAATGCCCCTTTTTCCATTCTCGTAACTGAGTGCCTTTTCTCTGATGAGTGGCCTTTATCAGGTGTGAAAAGTGCCCCATTTTCAACTCAAATAAGTTCCGCTTTTATAATAAGTGCCCTTTTCCCCATGGATAAATAATGTCTCTTTTTCCTCTCTCCATAAAATTTACTCCCTACTTAATATGCGACTAAGAGCAACTTAATTACAGCCAAAGCTCGCTCGCATTTAAAGTTGATATCATTATCATTGTGTTTTTTATAACTTGATGTCTTTTTATTCGTTCATGATTAGATTTTGCTTAAAGTCCCACCATGATTTTATTTTTCCTCTAGCTTTGTTAGATGCAGTTTTTCTCACTACGACCTCACATATCGCTAGCTTGCAAATCAATATTAAGACAATTACACCCGACTGCAAAGTATAATGCTTAAGCAGTATCTGCGGCAGGCGCGTACGCAGGGGGGGGGGGGATTGTGGGTTAACCTCCCCTTCATTTTTTGAATGGGTGTATTATGGAGCAAAAACCTCCCCCCCCCCCTTTGGGTAATTTTTTTTTCATCAAGCTATGGGTGTCCCAAAAATTTTGCAACGATTCAGCCAGCAGCTGAATTAGCGGGGGGGGGGGGGGGGAGTGGACATACTTTTTTTAAAATTCCAAAACATATATATATATATATATAAAAAAAAGCCTCCCCCCCCCCCCCGCACCTAGGCGATAGCACACCCACATGTCTTTTTTAATTTTGCGCCCTCTATCAAGCTATGATGAACATGTATGCAGCTAGGGCATGTTGAATTGAACTAGAAATATATCTAGGCCTACCGCTTTTTCATTATTTTCCTCCTGTCTGGGTACTTCAAAATGTCTCGCCGAATTCTGAGAGGCCAACAAGTGCCGGTAAGAAAGCGTGGAGTTGGAAGATGACATAATCTGTGAGAAATTAACTTCATAATGTGACTCTCGTTTTTCATTTTCGTGTTGTTTATCTAGACCTAGAAGGTCTACCCACTTTATTTTTATGCAAGGGGACCCGGTCAAGCTAAAGTTGTTTTTTTTTTTTTTGGGGGGGGGGGGGGGAGGGAGGGCAGACAAATAAGTAAAGAACAGAAGTGAAATTTATATCGCCTTACATATTTTGAAATGGAAAAATACCTTTCTGTAGATCTAGATGATCTAGAGACAGAGTAAAGGAGCCCGTAATCGGCCAGTTCCCGTTTTTGGCCGATTGGTTGGATGCAAGGTAAAATCACTCTAAAATACATCGCACAATAGCATAACACATATCCCACTCATACCATACCATGCCAGTGTCACTGAAGAACCACATTTGCAATGAAAAATATATCCTAAAATATCACATTTTAGCGATGTAATCGGCGGTCCCGCTACCCGAATCTGAAAAATCGAGTATCTTACGCGTGTATGTAAGAAATATGGGTACCATAAAATCAGCTTTATTTCAAGTATTTTTCAGATTTAGAGCCCGATTTTGTGTTAGTCGCAAGCTCAAAAGTATCTCATCGCATGTATTAAATCAATGCAGCCGGACCCTGCCACGCACACACGATATGTCTGTCTAATTCAGATTCAAACTTCCGATCACCGATGTGCCTGTCTTCGGCCAGGCGAGCACCAGGGAGCTCCGGCGTGGGATACCTGCTCCGCCCGCTTGTGCTATACATCAGCGCGGAAACGCACGGCGCGCGCGAGCGCTTCCTATTGACTTTGTACATGCGGCCGTAAACTGAAACGCTCGGCCGATAACTGGCTCCAAAACAGTGAAAATTGAAATGAATATTGTCATGGCAATTCGTGATTTTTTTCTGGGATTCTTTTTTTGTTTAAATAATAATAATATTTGCTTTATGATTTGAACACAAAATGATAATAAATAGGAAGTAAAGGGTCCTAAAAAAAGGATTTTGTCTTAAGTGGCCGAAAACGGGCTCCTTTACTCTATTTGACATTTGAGAATGGAAATAAAAAGAATCAAAATCAACAGACAACAATTTGTTTGTTGATTCAGAGGTGCTACTGTAGTTTCGTATCCATTTGTTTAGCAGTTTCATATCCATTCTTAGCAAAGGAATTTTAGCCCAATTTTTTCCTAATTTTAATCATAATCATATATTGCATTTACCACCTGAATTTGGATCACATCCGACATCGGGAAGCCTCCGTTTAGGGCTTCGATGTCGACGTCGTCGCTCAGTACCATCTCCGCGCTATAGCTTTGCAACTCAAACTGAAGCTACCAGTCTAAAATTATGCAAGCTTCTCGTATAATTTATGGTATCGTGCATGTGCGTAATACCATAAACATACGCGAAGTTTGCATAATTTTAGACTGATAGCTTCAGTTTGCGTTGCAAAGCTATAGCGCGGAGACGGTACTGAGCGACGACGTCGACATCGAAGCCCTAAACGGAGGCTTCCCGATGTCGGATGTGATCCAAATTCAGGTGGTAAATGCAATATATGATTATGATTAAAATTAGTAAAAAATTGGGCTAAAATTCCTTTGCTAAGAATCGATATTAAACTGGTAAAAAAACTGCTTAAAAAAAGGGATACGAAACTACACTAGCGCCGATTCAGAAAGATTTCCTTTTGCGACAGCCACCTAGGCTATTCACTATGTCATCTAAGTTCTAACCTTAACCCTATTTTATCATGTTTTATAGGGCTGCGACGAGTAGTCGAATACTCTCACTGTTGACAACTACACTAGTACGATTCCTCGTACTCGAATATTCGGCCGCAAAAAAACAAAAGAAAACAAAAAATAAATAAATAAAAAATTCCCGGTCACCTGGCACTGTCCAGGCCAACGCTTACCCGTGCCAGGGAGAGCGCCGGCCGCCGGCATGGTACCGTCGGTAAAAATGTTTCCCAGCTCAATCGCTGTCAAACTCACCACTCATAAACTGGGACCAAATGTCCAGATTTCTGTTTGGACTCGGAGGAAAATGGATTATTCTGCCTTCTTTGATTTTTAAAACAGCATTGTTTACTGTTATTATTATTAAATCGGCGCCTTCAACTGCAACTCAAAGTAAAATTGCGTGAGTTTTCGGAGACGGACCTGGGATACTGCTCCTGTAGTACGGTGGTTGCAAAAATTTTTTTAAAAATGGCGTCCGAGTACTCGAGTAGTTGTCAACAGGGCAAGTACTTGAGTATTCGACTACTCGTCACAGCCTTAGTATACGCAGACAAAATGCTTCCTCAAAAAAAAGGATCTTCCACATTTTTAAAGTTTTTTTTTCTCCTGCCCTCTGCGCTGGTGATGCAAAAAAAGAAATTCTGCGTGATAAAACACCCCCAGTTCACTGCTTCCCAAGAATTTATTGCTCATAACGTGAAAGTCTCTGTACAAAATCAATGTAAAATGCATCAAGAAAATTACAGCGGAATCCATATTTCGCATCTCCAGCGTGCAGGTTGGAAATCAGAATCATCAGCGAAAATAAGGATGATCCTTATTTTTGTGGACGCTTCTGTCTGTGTTTACAAAGACGATCCTAGTTTGTACGGACGATCCTTATTCTTGGACCGCCGCCCCTACTGCACACTCGTACCCATACATGTTGGACCATTACTTAAAGGGCAAGTCCACTCCAAAAAAAATTATTTTCAATAAAAGCAGAAAAATCAGACAAACCAATCAAAAAAGTTTGAGCAAAATCTGATAACTAATAAGAAAGTTATGAATTTTTGATGACATGAAAAACTTTGAAAATCACAAGACAAATTGGCAACTCACTCATGAGTATGTGACGTCATTGCCTCACTATCCACAAATTGTTATCTTTATATTGATAACATAAATTTCCTATTTTCCCCCTCAGAATCTTATTTCTTCACACCAGCATCCAAGTTAGGTTGATAGTAATATGTTTTTGTGTGGATACACTAATATAGAGTAATTTTTTCAGTTAACTCATTAAAAATGCTAATTTTGATAAACTATTTATATAAAAGTCAATTATTATGAATATAATATACTCAGAAAATGTATCGATTGTTCAAAGTTCATAAAATATTTCGTAAAATGTCATGCATGCAATATCATACAAATCACATAACTTGGGCTACTGGTAAGCCTAAGGCATGGAGAAATCAAGTTTTGGGGGACAAAAAGGGAAATTAATGGGATTAAAATATATAAAGAAATTGAGGACATGACATCACAAACTGATAACCAAATTGTCAATTTGTGTAGTGATTCTCATTGTTCCATGCTTTTACATACTTTTTCAAAATTCATAACTCCTCTTATTAGTTATCCAATTTAAGTAAACATTTCTGTGTAGGACATTTTTCTAAGACACCCTCTACTATCTGTACTGATTCTCAAATTTGCCAAACACCACTGTATAGAAGTGTTTGAAAAAAGAGTGTTTAATATTCATAATTTTAATTTTGTAAATATAGCTATCTCCTAAAAATGACATGGAAAAACAAACAGCAAACATGTGGAGTAAAAAGAACCCCCCTCCCCCTCCGTAAAAAAGAGGTTCACATAAAAATACAAAGTTGTATATTTCTATTCAAACAGATCTACATTCGGCTGACAGAAGTGAATCAGTACATTACATGTCACCTGTGTGGAGGCTACCTGATTGATGCTACAACTTTAACAGAGTGCCTTCATACATGTAAGTATCAAAAGGGTTGCTCAGTGATTCTCCCTCTTCCAACCTTTATTCTAGTTCGAGACATTTCTGTAGACCTGCAGCCCATGAGACCGACAGCCCATGACACTGATGACACACAAGACAGGAATCACATGAGGCTAGCGGTCTATGAGACCGGCATTCACTATGAACATGACTGACAAAGAAAGCAGACAAAATATACAGTTTCTCAGGTAGACAAAGGAACATACCTTCAATGCTATTATGTAAAAAGTGAATATGCATGTGACACCTGTTCTACACATTTTTACATAATAGCAGTGAAGGGATGTTCCTTTGTCTACCTGAGGAACTGTATATTTTGTCCGCTTTCTTTGTCAGTCATGTTCATAGTGATTAGCTCTTTCTTTTAGGCCGTTGGGCCTCAAAGGCTGTCAGTCAGTCAGTCAGTCAGTCAGTCATGAGTCGTTGGTATCATGGACTGTCAGCCACCTAGTGTAGACTCCTAGTTATCCCAAGAACGATGTCATTCTATCATCCCATTTCAGAGATGACAGCTATTGGAAAGGTAGGAACTAGGTTGCAGGGCTTACACGTAGGGTCAAGGGAATGTGTATTGAATCTCCTACAAATATATATTTATATATTACAGATATATTAAAGTTTGAAGTTGTAGTCTATTTATTCCACATTTTACATTAAAAAACAGTTTAATTTTTTAAATTTCTATACAGGGATATTAGAGTAGATTTCACACAAGAAAAATGAAAAAATTAAAGATTTCAAATCAAGTATAATGTACTGAGTAACACTATATGTTATAGCATTATGATATTTTCAGTATAATCTTTTAATTTGCATTGTAAATAAAATTTATTCTACATTTAAAAAAGTGATTTAAAATTCCTTTAAAAATTGTATCATTAGTGTCATTATTTTGTGTGTGTACATTCTCTTTTTTCCCATTTCAGTTTGTAAGAGTTGCCTTATTATGTATATCAAGAAAAATGAACTTTGTCCAACTTGTGATGTCCTTATTCATCCCTCAAATCCAGTCCTAAGCCTCAAGTAAGTGGATATATCCTTTTCTTATTATCTTTATGTCTCACTTTACTTTTTTTCTGTTAGTTTGCAGTATTTTTAAAGTCTTGGGGTGTGCATAAGGGTACATATTTTTAACCTGTAATTTTTAAGATTATAAACTGATTTATTTTCATTATTTAATAAGTTTTGATGTAACTGTTAATACGCGTAATGTTATAAAGACATGTTTTCTTCAGGCCTATATAACACTGAGCTAGGTATTATTATATTACCTTTTAAACTTGTATTTTACATCATTTATATACTTACATTTTGATACTGTTTTAGGGCTCTTGCATACTTACGATTTTTCTCAAGGCTTGATGGATTAACCTATTAATGGGTGTACAAGTCTCGCACAAAGCAAACCGTAGTCCTATCAAGAAATACCCCCTAGTCTCCCAGAGAGTCTTCGGATGAGGGAAATGTAAAATAATGACTTTACCATTACGCTACTACTACGCGTCTGCACTACTATGGATCTGTAACGTTGACCATTTCATTGTCTATTTCTGCACCATAGGCTGGATCGAACGATACAGGAAATTGTCTACAAACTACTGCCGTATATCGAGGAAGGTAAAAATTGTCTTGAAATTTGTTTAAATGTCTTTCAAAACAAAATTGTTTAAACTACATGTACAGGTATATATGTATCTCTTAGTTAGGTATGCCTGCAAGTTATGATTTTGTGCTATTAGATGAAAGAATAATGCTTTAAAATTGACGGTCATTAATATGTAAGCCATGTTTCAAACATGTAGCTATGATATCTAAAGGTCATAAGGTACTCAAGTTACAAGCGAATTCATTAATTAGTAAAATGATGTAACCAATATTGAACTGCACAGCAATGGAACCTTTCTTACAAGTTATGCATTTCAGTTGTGAAAGTACATCATGGAAGTTACATCACTGGTTGTTGCTTTGTTTTTGCATGTGCCATCAATTGTGAAAGAAGTTTTTTTTATCATTTTGAATACAATTGAAGCCATCTTTTTTGTTTACCATTTTGCAGATGAGAAAGCTAGGGAGGTGAGATTCTGGAAAGAGAGAAATCTTGAGCAACCACAGAAAGGTAAACATTGTCCTATAAACATAGTCCCCCTGTTAATCCTTCAGTAGCTTACTGAAACCTAATATATTTTTCTCTCTTTGTACTTAATGAAAAACGATAAAGAGCAAATAATATCAACCTATTAAATATGAAACCTGCTCGATGTATTACTTAAGCTATAAATTGTGTGAGTTATACCAATATGATAGTTTGTCCTGAGACTGAAGATGCATAGTAGTGGGCTCTCATTGGGAGTTTGACACTATTCAGGAGGTGTTTACAACAGGCCTTATGTAATGCTCTGCATTTCCCATCCATTCCCCCATATGGTAAAGTCCCTCACCCGAAGACTCTTCAAGAGACCAGGGCTATATCCTGCTGGGATTACTGGTTTGCTGTGTGTGAGACCTGCACACCCATTTATGGTATTTCCTGGATGTCTGGTATCAGCAAATTATGACCTTCTGCACTTGGAAACTGACCAACATCTATATTTAATATTATGATGATTTTTGTTTTACAGAACTGCCATCCCCAGAGCCTGTGGTAGCGCCAAGAAATACTGAGCTTCACGTTGCGGTTCTCCTGGAGTATGCAGGGTAAGCCTGTGACTTGACCATAGTTACTTCATTTGTTATTTCATTATCATCATCATCATCATCCCTCGGTCCCCTCTACAGGGTGTGGGGGGGGGGGGGGGTCAGGTATCGTCATTACAGCTCTCCGTGTTGTCCTGTCTAGCCATTCAATTTCCAATTTCCAGTTGTTCCTAATTACAATCCATCCACCTCTTCCTGGGTCTTTCTTTCTTTCGCCTTCCATCCTCCTTTCTCTCTGCTGCTTCATATTTTGTCACAAGATTCAAGATTCAAGATAATTTATTGTCATGTAAAAAATAAAAAAAATTTGCCTTCGGACATTTAAAGGTGCTATACATGTACAAACAAATATAAATATATAAATACAGACAAAATAATTACATTTCAACATAGCATTTAACAATCATCACAATTTTAAGAAAGGTTGCATTAAAAGAATAAGATAAAACTGAGGAAAAGGCAGTGCAGTTTAAAAAAGTGCAATTGAACAAAAAAGTAGGTACCGAGTCTTCTGCTCATGAACTTTTTTTGGGTAGATATTTGCCTTATGATTTCCTATTGTATTGTTTAATCTGCTATTTTGGTATAAAATTTTAAACTTGTGTACATATAAGATGCTTTTTTTAATGTATTGTGTATTGTGCTTCAGTAACATTATGTTAATTACGTTTTTGAAATTGAGCTTCCCTTCTGTTTAATGTAGAAGCTTTCTTTAGCTATTAACTGTTCATGTTGAGCTTGTGAGATGGGCATTTTTGGATTCACAATATCGCATTGCAATACAATGAAAGATATAATGATGTCAGTCATGTAAAAAGAAATTATGATGCTTTTGGAAGGTCGTGAATTGGTAGTGACACAGTTGTTGTTATTTATTCCTGTTTACAGGTCATCGGAAGGCTGTCCAACTTTCAAGGTATGTCTACTTCGGACTTTGGAGAAGAAGAAAAAAGAATAATATCCAATCTTGAAATGATCAAGAGCATCTAATCAAGCAGTTAAATTTCATAAACAAAAAGTTGACAGAAAGAATCATTCTAAAATTAAGTTTAATCCGAAAGTTAAATTTGACTGCAGGATGTGAAATTTTTAAGAAGTTATTTTGATGTGCATACAGATAACATTCACTCCCCTATCCTTTTGCATGATATTTTCCCTTCACTCTCTTTCTCTTTCAAGCTTTGCCTTATATACCCTTTAAAGCGTATCTGCCATAGTTTACAGGAGGGATTAGACTGCCCTGCAAGGTCACTAGACAGGTGGTTATCTCATCAACTCAGCTCTCAGTTAACATAAGAAAAAGAGGATCATGGGGGACCAATGGTTACCGATTAGGCATGGTTTGTTATATAGAGGGCACAAGTAGCTACAAGTAGTGTAGTGGGCCTTTAACCTATTATTTTCCTGTCCTGTTCCTCACTTAGTATTTCTTTCCCTCTCCTTTCAGGTTTGATTTCTTATTTGTCAACCCTCTCTCTTTTTTTCTCCGCAGCCTCTGCCAAAGAAGTATATTCTTGTACCAAACCGTGTCACTGTGAGTCAGATACAGAGGTTCATCACCCACAAGTTGAACATTCAAAGTCCTCTTGAGGTAAGAGGTGTAACTTGGTATACAAGGTGTCCTTGTTTTACATGATAGAACATTTAGAAGATTACTATATTAGGTTTTATATATCTAAATCTTTGGATGTATTATGGTACATTATATTATTTACTCTATGCATTATAATATGCCATGTATTACAAGAAGAAAAAAGAGTGTTTCTGCTGTATATAATTCCCTTCTGTTTTGCTATATGCACTGCATTGTACATTGATTTATATGATATATATGTTTACAAACAGAATATTGATTTGTTTCATTACATTGTAAATTGATTTATATGTTTATAAACAGAATATTGATGTACATCTATGAAGTTTAATAAATACAATACAATACATGTTCCCATATGACAGCAGATTTTTTTTTCTTCAGATTTTAGGGGGGTGGGGGTTGTGTTTGTTTTCCTTGTTAAGGTCATAAAGCATGTATAGTCCCTGGGATTCATGGTAGTGTATTTCTGGAAAATTAAGGTTTGAAAACAAAAAGTTTTCTGAACACAGTATCCTTGCTCTCATGCAGAAATCAGGCTTGAAAAGATGAAATAAGCTATGAAATGTCACCAAAAATGACACAAATTTTCACTTCCTAAACTACCGTACCGTAGGGCGAAGTCTCTTTGACGATGGAGGGATAGAATTATATTATCAAAGGGATCGTTTAACAATGTTAAATCTGAGATGCATGGCCCTCTATGTGTTATCAGTGTCTGTGATATGGTGTAATATTGAAGCCCTAAAAAATTGCACTTCAAAATGGTCATGAAGTGCCTCCAAAAAGTAAAATTCTTTGAGTGACTGGTCTTACCATACTCGTTTTCTGTAATAGACTGTAGTGTTATGAAAACCGTTAGAAAAATGCAAAATTTGATTTCAATTTCCAATCATAAATATCTTGACAATCAGACAGGCGACCGGCTTGTAAAAGTCATGGGGCTCCTGACTGACCTAAAGGTTTATAATTATTATTGCAGCATGAGCTAAATCCAGGATTTAGTTTCAGAATCTGAGACAAAGTTACCCAATCCCTTTAAGTGCAAGCTCTCATCACAAACCACTGATATATTCTGTCTTGATATGATAGGTGGACGTTCTCTGTGAGGAAGACATCTTAGAACCAGACGTTACTTTGAAACAGATTTGGGCTCAGAGCACAGAAGAGCAGGTAAATAAATAACTCTTTATTATTCAAATGTGGGTAATAAATTCTGCACAGTTTGTGCGAAGTACTCATTTGCATAACTAGTGGTAATCCAACATTGGAAGTACGTAAATTTGTCATAAAAATATGCAAGAGAGAGACCATTTGGCGACAATTGCTCCTCTGTCAGTTTGGTATGCGAGTCAAATTCGTAGTTTCAACTCTGGACCCCGCACTATATACTTCACTCTAGCCCTAACCTTAAATATAACCTAAACCCCATTGCAATCTTGGCTACTTTACATAATCTTTGAAAAAATAAAGCCTAAAGCAAATATTGCTGTTGAAAATAGATCACCCGGGGAATAAATAAATGTTGGGTAGACCCCCACATGCATAGCTTCAATTTACCACATTTACATGACAAATTGACCACTATTTATCAAGTATGCTCATATTTTGTTTGATTTTGTTCCAGATGGAAGACGGAATGCTGTGCCTGTATTATAGCATATCAAACACCCAGGAAGAACCCAGCTGATACAGATTCACCATCACCTTCAATTCGTTTAACTCGCTGCTCACCTGCCCAGAGCTAGTGAAGATAGTCAGGTGACCTTGAAGGAAATGTCACATGATCATGATATTACTGTTCAAGGCATGTGGCTTGGCAGTATAGTACAGTACTTGCAAACGTGCCTGAGATGATCTTACCGAAAGCTATGTTTATTTAAAGGTGTAGGGTCAGCACAAAGAAACTCACTTCAAAACTGCTACTGTCATATTTGATCTAAGGGAGTCTTAATTAACTGTCATGAAATTTGCAGTACACATCAAGCAACATACCAAAAATATCTGTGTAAAGTGTTTTTTATTAAAAGTTTGCTAACTTCATGCTGTAGCTAGCTGTTATTCATTTTGCATACTTCTAATTGCGTCATTATTTTGTATTACAAAAGGTCCAAATTATTTTTTAAAATTCTGGTGGGATTTCATCAAGACCTAAACAAGGTTCAAGTTTATTTATCTGACCAGGGGGGTGTTTCACAAATATTCTAAGTCAAACTTAACTCCAAGTTGGACTTCAATATTATGGAGAGCCATTTGTAGCCTTATAATGAAATATATTCATAAGCAAAAATTAAAGTATTTTAGACTTTTCATACATTCCACATCAAGAACACGAAATCTCCCATGATTATAGAAAATATGAATAATTTGAATCAACATTTTATGCCTTTAAAAATAACTTTTACAAAATATTTTCAAGGATACTAATGTCTTTCCATAATTATAAAGTCCAACTTAGGATCTTAAAGGGAAATCCAACCCAAACAGACATCTACTAGTACTCTAAAAGAAAGCAGAAAAATCAGAGAAGCCAAACGATGAAAGTTTCAATTAAATCTGACTAAATGTAAAAAAGTTATGAATTTTAGAAAGTTGTCATCACTATACCTATGGTCACTTTAATTTGGACGAGGCGGTTATGTCAATGTGATGTAGTGCCAGCCTACTTTCCCATCTATTCCAACATATAATGAATGATATTTTTGTACGCGGCCGAAATGGGAGAGTTATCCACGTCCCAGTCACAATCCAGTGACCAAACTACCAATTTGAAATTTGCATAGAATAGTGATCTCATATTTCAAACATTCATAACTTCCTTGCTATTGTTCCGATTCATTTATTTATGTTTGTTATTTTTCTGCTTTCATACAAATCAACTTATTACAAGGGTTGGATTGCCCTTTAACTCTAAAAAGTTCAGAATGCAATTCTTCATTTTCTGTCTATATGTTTATATTGTGTTCGTAACTCGTTTTCAAACTTTATACATGTTTTTGTTCTGTTCCTTATTTTGATCAATGAATTCTGAAGAAAATAAAAATAAAAACTGTATATTTTATATCTATTTTTTATAATAAAATGTCCATATTATGGAACAGTAATGATGCACTTTGATCTGTTTTGTGTCCTATCTTACTTTTACATGCAAAGTACACAATTTAATTGCAAGATCTCACTTCAGATGACAAAGCCGTTTTTAGGTTAAGCAGTTTCTTTGAATAGGTGTCATTGATACATGTAGCTCACTATATAATATTATATCAGTATTTCAGTGTATTTTCGACTGGAGTAAACACCCAAGGTCTGTATTCTACTTATTCACTTAAACCAGAGATGGAAGGGGGGGGGGGGTGGAGGATGGAGAGACTTGGTGTTAAATATGAGAGGAAAAGAATTGAAGTGAGAGCGAGCGAGAGAGAGTGCAAAAGAAAGGGGAAGAAAGGGAGGGAGAGAGAGACGGTGTGATAAAATAGGAGGAAAAGAATTGAAGTATTTAAAGAGCAAGAGAGAGGGAGGGGGAGGGGGAGAGAGGGAGGGAGAAAGATAGTGGGAAATACATGGAGCGAGTGGAAATGGATGAAAAGAACAAAATATTGTTTCTCACCCCTGACAATCAAGGTTTATGTAACACCCACAAAAAACAACAACACACTAACAAATACCAGAAAAATATGCATTTATTGCACAAAACAAATACATCATCAAAATCACAGTTGAAAGACAAAACATTTTAAGGCATGTGTGTAAATAAACAATGTTTCAGTGAAACTATTAAAACATACATTATTAACTACAATATGGCCACTATAAAATAACAAACATGAACTGCAAACAAGAGATTAAAAAATAACTTCCTAAAACTATAAGAACAATTTATCTTATAACGTAATAATATATTATGATTTACAATGACAAGATAAAACAGAATTCAAATTTTCATGTATCACCTAGGTTGTGAAATTACATATCTTGAATAACATTGACTGCAAATGGTCAGAAACATTCTTAGAATACAAAATTGGAAGCTCCTTTGGACTAATTAAGTTTATCAGAATTATATAATCCTAATTTACATATGAACTGTTTTACCATAAAACACATGGGTAAGGAACAAGAATCATAACAGAAATAGTTCATATCAATTTGATCACTGGATATTTTAAAGAATGTTTACTTCAGAAATGCAATTTTATTTTGGTAATTACAAAATTATATAAAATATTTACGGTATCAAAATGATTGGAACATACTCCATGCATATTTGTGTTTGTATTAAAAAAAAAAGAAGGTATATCTTCATTCTACACATGTATACACAATATCACTTAAAGATTTCAATTCAATTCAATTCAATTTTGGTTTCATTGTAAAAAAAAGAAAGTCTGGAGACTAATATTGATATTTTTCCTGTAAAATAGAAGAAAACATGAAATAAGGTTATAAATTTGCATTTACATATATAGCAGCGTTTAAAATTTGGTTTCAACAACATATATTGTAAATATACATGAGAAATATCTCTAAGATCCCTGAAAGTTATAAATAGAATAAGAAATGATTTTAAATTCACACGTCCAATTAATATAAATTTGCACAAGTGGAAACAGCAGGAACAGCATCAGAGAAAGTCTGGAAATACCCATAATTTTTTTTTTTAAAGTAAGGAATTTTCAAAAGTTGCGATCCCTATTGTTACAGATATCTCCAATTGGCAATGCAGTATGTCATACAGAATGAACTCTCTGATGAACATGACTACACCCCACTCTCCTTCATTTCTTAAGTGCCAGTCAGACTTTATCAGTAATGAGAATATCAATAAATTGTTCCCTCATCATTCCCCTCATGTATGTCAAAAGACACTGTCTGAAAAATAATATCATACATGTAAGTCAGACCTCAATAATTTATGCCAACGAATCTCCTTCTTAGATTCTTCCATCTTTGTGGATCATTGGACAAGCGATTTGTGTAGGACAGACCATAACGATCTGTAAGCAAATAATTTCACTCTTCAGATGTGACATCAGTTCGTCATGAGGAATGTGTCCATCATACATGTATTAGATTGACAGAAATACACCATTTTGATGTTATGATCATGTTTATCATTATCCTTATCATCGCTTCATATATATATTTTAGCTACAGTTAAAGGTAAAGACCAGTATTGGTAACGCCCCAATTTCAAAAAATGAAATGGAAGCTCTCATTACCAATCATGTGAAAGAATATGTTTTGACTAATACATGATGATAAAAAATTTGCCGGGAAACCGCCTACTAATTCATATATTTGGTCAATTTATTTCTCTCATGGTCGTGTGAGAGAGATAGGGTAGTCCCATATACATCTTTCTGTGTATAGTGCTTGTAACTTTACGAAGAATGGGCCAAATTTCTTATCATTTTGATGATTCCAGAACCTTGCAGATGCTAGATGCTAGATGATCAACCTTTTCTGATCGATTCCACAACGTTTCTTTCACAATGCAATCGCATGACCATTACTGGTCTTTACCTTTAACAACTAAATTATTCATATCCCTTGTAAATTTGATGTTTTTTTTTTTTTTTCATATCTCAAGATTCAAGAATGAAAGGTGGACTGGTTGAATTGGGGCCTTTGTTGAATGCTTTTAGACATAAGCTTTAAATATGTCACATTCTCAAGAAACATAAATTGGGACATATCAATTTTGACATACCGTACCTAAAAATGACAAAAATTAGTAAGGGTATGAATAATCTATTTATTAACTGTACATTACATTCAGATTATAAATCATCATGGTCTGACCCAGCCCTCATTATGGAGTAGAGAATTGTTGTCATTATTTTACATACGTGTACATGTATATTAAGTGGAGGGTAACATTCCCTCACACAAACATATCTTTGTTGATTTTTGTTGCGTTTTACTCGGGCCAAATTTTTATCAAAGGAAACGTCACCCCTACTAATAACTTAACTTATTATGAGCGATTTATAATATTCTTGCCTATTAACCTAAAAGATTCCTGACCAAAGTGTATGAGAGAGGCTTAAAGCAAGAATAATGTACAGTTTCTTAGCACGACATGATCATCGCCATTTTCTTGATAACGTGACATACTATGTGAAGTTGTTTATCAAGTAAATGTATTCAAATTAATGGATGCTTCCTTCCCAAGTGTGTGCGGTGGGTGAAGCATTTCATTCACCTGCTATATTGATAATAATAATATTCTGCTTTTATATAGCGCTTAATACAATGCCTCAGACTCTAAGCCATTTACAAATATGCTATTATCCTTTATAGTACAATTGCCAGAACCGAAATTGCATAAATAAGTTAGTGCTCTTTTGGGGTGAAGGTTTCTCATAAGTGATATAGATTTGCTATATTTTAATATTTTTTAATGAATTAGTTACAATTGTTCCCGCGTTAAATATTTGGCATGCATGATATGATGATACACATTTTTGGTGCATACAACTTCAACACATTTTCAAGACAATGGCTGCGCCCATGTCATGCTATAAAAGGCATCACATCATGCCAAGAATATCTTCATTTATATACCTCCTGTACATTTTTGTAAGGAATATTGTACATCAAGTGCAGGAATACATCTCACTTTTTCCAGAATATCTACACTTATTCTTTGGGGTGAGGTTTCCTTTAAAGCAGAACTGCACTACTTGTAGCTACTTGCGCCCTCTATATAGCCAACAGAGCGGTACCCGTTGATCCCCATGGTTTCCTTTTTCTTATGTTAATTGAGAGCTCAGTGATTTGATGAGATAACAACTTGCCAGTGACCACGCAGGGAGGTCTAATCCCTCTTGGCCAAACTAAAGGCATGGCACACAGAATTATTGATTGTAAGTCATGTCATCAAACCACTGCTCTTGAAAATCACTTCAAGTAATTTTAAATAAAGCATACTTCTGAAAGTATGTATTGATAGTACAGTAAAAATCACTAATAATCTTAAAATATGCTTTTCCCTTCAGCTAACTACATGAATTTGTGCTATAATATAAGCTATCAGGTTTATTATATCTTAACCTGAAGTTAAAGGGAAATCCAACCTTACCAGACATCTACTCTAAGAAAAAGCAGAAAAATCAGAGAAGCAGACTACTGGTAGTGAAAGTTTGAATTAAATTGGACAAACAATAAGAACCTTATGAATTTTTGAAAGGTGTAAGCACTGTACGTATGGGCACTTCAAATTGACTGAATGGGTAATGTCACTGTTTGAAGTGCCGGACTACTGAGTTCCCCATTTGTTTCAACACACAAAATGATTAGAAAGTCTACTTTTTCAAAATGTTTCATTTGGGAGGGTCTATTCATTTTAGATGACCAGTGATACTAGGCTATCCATAATATATTTTGAGTGGCCGGGTGTTTTAGAGGAGAAGGCACTTATGAGGAAAAGCGAATTAATGATATCTGTGTACACGACAAACGGGAGAGTGAGGTAGTCATGACTACCTCACAATCCACTGACCAAATTACCCATTTGAAATTCGCATGGCTTTAATGATCTCATATTTCTAATATTTGAACTTTTTTTTTTATTATTGGCCTGATTTATTTCAAACTTTCTCCATTCTGTTTCTCTAATTTGTTTGCTTCCATACAAATGAAGTTATTGGAAGGGTTGGATTGCCCTTTAATTAAGTGTGAAAAAATAACATTTGCTCATATGAACTTATGATATATTTATCAATGCAAATACCATGTACCACGTATAAACCTCTAAAATTCCATGCCTACATCATCATGTTTGGTCCTGCACTCAAATCCACTGATTTATGATGCGCTTAAGATAGAAAGAAAAAGTTTTGGGAATATATTTATTAAATCCTTACTGGTACTTCTTCTCTATTGGACGAAAGTCTCAATGTTGGTCTTGTTGCAGAGCCTAAGGAATATTGAAGGAACATACAAAACCTTGGCAGTACTGACTTTAACTTCATTTTATCAAAATGTTCATTGAAGCTTAGATGTTTAAAACAAATGAATATGCATGGTATATACAGTTGATTTCAGTCTAAATGATCATTCATCAGATTGAAAATAAGGGAAGGTACATGTACATGTATTCTGCCCAATACCTGTAGGTGGGTGGATATATATGATTAGTTTCCACTTGATTTAAAAAAATCACCATGAAACACAAATATTATACTAGACAAATACAACATATTGTTAAAATGAAGGGTGACATATAAAATGGAATGTACTGTATCATTTCGCTTTACCTGTGTAATTACCACACAAAAAAATAGACATTAATTACTTGTTGACATCCCATATACAGGGCTCAACACCAACAGGTGCCAGGACACATGGGTGCCAAAAATGTCAGAATTTCTTCAAAGGGCTCAATGGTTTAGACCAAACAAATTCAAGTCTGGGGGGTGTTTCACAAAGATCCTAAATCAAACTTAACTCTAAGGTATTATGTAGAGCTACATGTAGCCTTAAAATAAAATATATTCAAAAGTGAAAACTTAAGTATTTAAGACATTTTATAAATTCCACATGAAGAACATGAAATATCCTTGATAATAGAAAATATCAATGATTTTAATCAACATTTTATGCCCTTTAAAATAACTTCACCAAATATTTTCATAGATGCTAATTATGCTTTCCATAATTGTTAAGTCCAACTTAGAGATAAGTTTAACTGAGGATCTTAGCCGGGGTAATATTGGAGCACCTTGAGCACCTTGCATGGTGGATATGTGCGCTATATAAATATCCAATATTATTATTATTATTTGTGAAACACCCACTGGACCCTCAACAAAAACATTTAGTTTGGAGCCTTGCTACATGCATTCAACATTTCTTCCATATAAAAGTATTCAAATCTTACTCTTTTAATATTTACATATTTTACATATCAAAGACAATAAACACTAGTCAATAATTTAGATATGTACATCATTTGGTCTGAACCATGGAATACAATTTTTAAAATACTTATTCAACTAATGACTGTATTCATGCAATGGTCTGTTAGTAGCATCACTCACTGCAAATGTCATACTTCTGTGCCACTTATTAAAACGTGCAATGAGACAGGTTAGTCAGATTTATAATTAGTAAAAAATGGTTGAGTTAGCTCATGCCCCCCTCCCCCAAAAATGTTTAGCGTCCTGCCTTTTTAAAAAGTTTTAAGTTTGGTTCTTTGTCCCACTGTTCCTATGTCCCATTGGTCCTAGATGTAAGTCCAATTGGTCCCATAGATGTTTGACCGGTCCTATTGATGTTTGACCGGTCCTACGCCCCAATGGTCCCATTGATGTTTGACCGGTCCTACGCCCCAATGATCCCATTGATGTTTGACCGGTCCTATGCCCCAATGGTCCCATTGATGTTTGACCGGTCCTACGCCCAAATGGTCCCATTGATGTTTGACTGGTCCTACGCCCCAATGGTCCCATTGATGTTTGACCGGTCCTATGCCCCAATGGTCCCATTGATGTTTGACCGGTCCTACGCCCCAATGGCCCTTTTAATGTTTGACCAGCCCTACGTCCCAATGGTCCCATTGATGTTTGACCGGTCCTATGCCCCAATGGTCCCATTGATGTTTGACTGGTCCTATGCCCCAATTGTCCTGGGTCTATCCAAAGGTATTATCACCAATGGACAATATAAAGTTCCATATTTAAGTGATCTGTACAAGCAACAATCACAGCAGCAGAGAAAATCCACACACTAAACATTTTATGACCAACAAGAAACACACAAAAATCTTTCTCCCAGATACACTCCAAGTACGCACCAAGTGAATGTATGAATTGGAATAATGTATATCTAGCACAACAAAGCAATCGTATAATTCTTCTTCAATTCTAGCTATGGGGATTATAAGAAAGGCGCAGTCTCCTACCTAATAGTCTAAAAATTCTAGTTTCATAAAAAACTTTTTGTTTTTATCACCACCATTATGTATAAAAATTTGTATAAAAAGGCAATATAACTATACCTTACTGCGCCATCGTATAATAGTTTTTGAGCATTTTGATACACCAATAGAATCCATGAATTAAAGAAAGTGAAAATTAGTTAATAAGTAAAATGTAAACGCATATAAGAGAGGCTGAAGTACTGGCTATTGAAGTAGTATGTGAAATATGTTAATATTTGATTTAAGTAGGAGTGAAAAATCCAACATTTCAGTGTGCTAACATAGAAAAAGGAAGAGAGATTTAGGGAAACAGGAAAATGAAAAAGATTGATCAAATTAATCAGATTACTACCCCCTGTCGACTGCAAATATGATAAAGGAAGAACAAACAATAAGAATTGTTAAGAATAAATAAAATGATTATGAAAATGTGTAAAATACTTAAATGTTTGAGATATATTTTGAATTAGATACCTTAATCATTATAGCACCACATAGTAAATGACTGAAAAAGGGAAGATCTGGTACAAAACAGTTTAGATGATACAGTACATGCAAGATTGCATCGCCATGTTACTGTGTACATGTCACTCTGAATGGTGTGCAAACTTAAAGTTTAAATGTATTGCATGCACATTCCATCAACAATCTTCCATATTTTTTATTTTTCAGCAATTGCATTTCTCTCTTGCATGAATATATAGGCAATATATTTCAACAAAAACCAAATAAATGTTGAATGGGACACTGCAAGGTGCTAGGCAGCTAGTGATAAGTTTGATCAATTTTTATCAATAGCCTGGCATAATGTTATGGTTGCGGTTAAGTAGAATTATGATCATCTGGGAACAAATGCAACGTAGCATGCTACATCAATACCAGCAGTGATAGGTCTAACTCCTGTGATTGATTGATGAATATTATAGATGTTGAAAACTTTTAGAGGAGAAAACGGCAGAACTTTTAGAGGAGAAGACGGCAGAGCATTTTTAGACGAATGAGCTGCGATAAATACCTGCATGAAAAGACCACCTGTCCACAAAGACCACATTTTTGTTTCCCTTGAAACAATGTTTCTCATTATAATGTGTCTATTAAGTAAACCTGTCTGCAAAGGCCACCTGCCTATGAAGACCTAGGAATGCTTACATGCTATTCGGCAGGAGACTGACGATGACTATGAAACCCATGAAGAGGGTGAAGAGTAATACCGGCGTTAGGAATCCATACACGGGCCACAGAGCTATGTTGATACTGAGGAGTGAGAGGGAGAGAGAGAGGGAGGGAGAGAGAGAGATAGAAGAGGGGGTATAAGAGAAAGGGGGAGGGAGGGAGAGAGAGAAAAAGAGAGAACGGTAAGAGAGAGAGAGAAAGAGAGAAGGGGAGAGAGAGAGAGAAAGAGATAAGTGGAGAAAGAAGAGAGACAGAAAGGGAGAGAGAGAGAGAGAATGGGAAAGAGAGAGAGAGAGAGAGAATGGGAAAGAGAGAAGGGGAGAGAAGAGAGACAGATAAGAGAGAGAGAGAGAGAGAGAGAGAGAGAGAGAAAGGGGAGACAAATAAAGAGAACTTTTACTTGATTATTGATGGGTCCAAAACAAAAATATGGCAATGATGCAGCTATTTTTTCCTTCATTTTACTTTCTTGTTATTTAATCATGCCATTTTATATACATAGCTGTAAAGCCATTAAAAATGAAGAAAAAAACAAAGAAAAAAAAACTCTTTTGGGAGCAATATCAACCACAAAATAAAGATGAGAAATAATTAATCCATATCCCTAATCCCTTGCCAGAAGAATATGTCTAGAAATATTTTCTACGATAAAATGTTTAATCAGTTCATTTCCGAAATATACAAGAATCCCAATCAAGGGCTGTCCTTCGTCAAATAATTTTTACGTCTGCTTGAAAACAACCATGAATTAATCCTAAAACAAATGGAGTCTTTTCAAGAAGATACATTACAAGACCTTACCAAAGAGTCCCGGAGACAAAGGAACATGTTGCAATCGGGACGGCACTTGGAGAATGTTTTTCCCAGTCCGTGATCTTTCTTATCCAAGAACATACTATGATCAGATAGAGAGCGATAGCCATGTTGATGCCGATAAAACCTGCACCAATGTATAACCACGTCCTGAAAGAAGAGCGATAAGACTTCAAGATATTGTTGACAAGACAAAAGGAAGGGTAACATCTTGAGAAGTTGTGTCATGAGATGAGGCATGTACACAATTCATATTTTACATTATTAGTTTGTATATTGTAAGACATTGTTGAGTATTCTTGTTTTTTAAAGTATCGATTGTAATAGTAAATTCATTATTTTCTGTTTTGTTAAGTTTTCTAAACTGATTTGTACCAAAATACTTTGTTTAGCTGTTTAAGGGGTTAGGCTTGACTAGCACATGTGCTATTATCTGGCCCCTTTTACCAACCAATAGTTTCTCTTCTTGTTTATGTAAAATCATTGTATACATGTATTGCTGTTGGTAAATAAATAAAATAAATTCAAAATCAAAATCAAATCAAACCTTTGTAGACTTATATATTACCAAACTTTAAAGATTAGGCCAATGGAAAATACATTATTTTTGAAAACTCAATAATACTTTTATGCAAATGAAACAAATCTCTCTTACAATGGCAACTTTTGCCCTGCTGGAATAGATACCAATCCATTTCAATCTAATGTATTTTCAATAAGTACTTTTTTTCTCATTTATTTAGTATTCAAGTATTGAAATTGAAATTTTGATTTAAAATACTTTAACTGAAAGCTCCATGCAATTCTGAACATTCTTTATAAATACTGCACAACAATCGCACATGCAGATTTTAATACAGATACTTAAATATTAACAACAGATATAATTAAACCCACTTTTTCACAGCTGAATCGTAAAACATGGCAGGAACAAAGTCGGTCAGTTTGAAAATGGCGATGGAAGCTAGGATCCAGAAGACGGTCTGGATGTTGTAAGGGGAGGTGACCCTTGCCTCCTCTTCCTCGTCACGCTTCTTCTGCATCTCCTCAAGCTTCTTAGGGTCCATCTTGCGATATTTCAGGATATCTGGTATGATGGAAAAGAGTATATACAGTCAAACCTGCTTTAGTGACCACCCGGCTACAACAAGCACATTTGCTGTTTCCCATGAAAAATGTACTAAAGGAACCTGTACTTAAAGACCACTTTTCTGATCTCCCTTGGGTGGTCTTTATAGACAGGTTTGACTACACTATGAAGCAGAGATGCGAACTTTTGGAAAACAGAAATAGGGAGGATTTGTAACCGACACCAAATAATGTGAGCGTAGCGTAGCGCCTGACCCATGCAGCTCTGGGGTTCTAGATGCTCTCTGTTGCAATCTGAGTCTTATTTTGCAGCATTTTACATGTGTATTTAGTTAAATAATTCCCACTTTTTTTAAAATAACATACAAATTGTACAAAATGCCTGATGAATTCCTTTCAGACTTCCGAATACACGGGTACTTGATACTGTATTCGGTCTTATACTTCTGAGACCACTTCTTGGTCTTCTTTTGCTGATATTCCGCCATTTGGATTCTGTGTCAATATCCACGCATTGGTTACGGCGATCCATATGCTGAAACAATCTCTTGTTACTCTTAAAGATGAAGTTGAGTTCTGGTCATGCGATTGCATTTTGAAAGCATCGGTGTGGAATCGACCAGAAAAGGTTGATCATCTAGCATATAAGAATTTGTGTGCATTGCAAGGTTCTGGAATCATCAAAATGATAACCCATAGGAAAGAAATGAGCCTGCCGCATACTCCTGCGGCAGACTTGCCGCAGATCTGCAGCAGACCTGCCGCAGACAGTCATCTTTTTCTCATGCAAATTAGTTTTGCCGCAGACTTGCTGCAGACTTGCCGCATACTCTTTCAGTATGATGAAGAGTCTGCGGCAGGTCTGCCGCAGACTTGCTGCAGACTGCTGCAGACTTGCCGCATACTCTTTCAGTATGATGAAGAGTCTGCGGCAGGTCTGCCGCAGACTTGCTGCAGACCTGCCGCATACTCTTTCAGTATGATGAAGAGTCTGCGGCAGGTCTGCCGCAGACTTGCTGCAGACCTGCCGCATACTCTTTCAGTATGATGAAGAGTCTGCGGCAGGTCTGCCGCAGACTCTTCGTCATGAATATTCATATCTCATATAGACCTGCTGCAGACCTGCCGCATACTCTTTCATATCCAGTACGTGGCAATAAAGTATGCATGTAGAAGAACCAGTGATAAACTGATTGATACTTCATAATCGATATTGGCAATATTGATATTACCAATTAGGTAATACCAATATATATCGATATTACCAATTAGGTATATTCTATTCTCAATTGTATTAACTTCATCACATTGATCATTTGAAGTGTATTCAAGAGTAACATTTAAAGTATCACAGGCTCGTACACATATATATACTAAATATGTATATTGTTTCTTGGTTAGTAATCATAGTTTCTTGGTTAGTAATCAATATATCTATTGCTTAAACGTGAATGTAATTGTAACATGATCAGACAAAATAATCTATTGGTTAATAATGACAAAAGGAAAATAGAAATTACAAAAATGATGTGCATTGTCTTAATTTGCTTAACAAATCATGATAAATGTATTTTTCTGTCACACGTGTAAAGTAATAATGAATATGCATGAGATGATTGGTTTCAATTGGCCCTATTAGACTTTAATGGGATTTCCTGTGGCAGACCTGCCGCAGACTGTTCCTGTGGCGTACTGGTATGCGGCAAGTCTGGAGCAAAGTTTCGCCCTGCCGCAGATCTGCCGCAGACTGTTCCTGTGGCATACTAGTATGCGGCAAGTCTGAAGCAAAGTTTCATCCTGCCGCAGATCTGCCGCAGACTGTTCCTGTGGCATACTAGTATGCGGCAAGTCTGCAGCAAAATTTCATCCTGCCGCAGATCTGCCGCAGACTGTTCCTGTGGCATACTAGTATGCGGCAAGTCTGGAGCAAAGTTTCATCCTGCCGCAGATCTGCCGCAGACTGTTCCTGTGGCATACTGGTATGCGGCAAGTCTGCAGCAAAATTTCATCCTGCCGCAGATTTGCCGCAGACTGTTCCTGTGGCATACTGGTATGCGGCAAGTCTGCAGCAAAATTTCTTTCTGCCGCATACTTCGGCATACTCTTTGCCGCAGACTAAAAGTCTGCGGCAGGTCTGCGGCAGGTCTGCGGCATACTTTTCACTTTCCTATGGGAAGAAATTTGGCCAAGTCTTGGTAAGTTTCAAACACTGTACACAGAAAGAAGTATATGGGACTACACGAACATGTGGCGTAAAAATCCTACCCCCGAGTTTTACGATGTTACATGACATATTTCGAATATGAAGGCATTTGAAGAGCCATGCTTTTCAGGGAACATGTCTTATATTATGATGTTCTTCCACACTTGCATAATAAGAATGATAAGGCCATGTAAAATTGATTTCATGTTGATCGTCCCCGCCCGCTTCCTTTTTGGGGGCCGCCTCCTATTTTTTGTTATTTGTTATTTTTTTTTTTTTTTTTTTTTTTTTTTTTTTTTTTTTTTTTTTTTGATTTTTTTTTTTTTTGAAAGAAAAAAAACATGAAAAACACTGCTAAAATGGCTCTATTTCTGATTTAAAAAAAAAAAAATTGTCGGCGGCCATCTTGAAAAAAAATAGCCTCGACTGTCAGGGAAAATGTACCGAGCGGCCATTTTGAGCGGCCATTTTGAAATATCAAATATCAAATAACATGGTACACCCTCCTCCTCTTTTTCAAAAAATCCGGACGATCAACATGTAATCAATTTTACATGGCCTAATGCTCACAAATTATTTTTCACCTCTTCCCAGAACTCAACCTTCTCTTTAATTTTAACATAGTGGAATTACTACATGCTAAAGTTAGCAGACGATATTTCTCATTCAATTCACAGATATATATACCGATAAGCGCCCCCCCCCCAAAAAAAAAAAAAAAAAAATCATAATTAAAAAAAAAAAAAAAAAAAAAAAATTTAATTCTGCCGATTTTTTCGCTGATTATATTTGACGATACCGATCACAGGTGCGAGAGCTTCGCTCTGATCTTCCGATCCGATCAAAGCCCCAACTTACAGGGTTACCACACATACCATACCTTATGCCAGAGTCACTGAAGAACCACAATTGCAATGGAAAATATATCCTAAAATATCACATTTTAGCGATGTAATCGGCGGTCCCGCTACCCGAATGTGAAAAATCGAGTATCTTACACGTGTCTGTAAGAAATATGGGTACCATAAAATGAGCTTTATTTCAAGTATTTTTCAGATTTAGAGCCTGATTTTGTGTGAGTCGCAAGCTCAAAAGTATCTCATCGCATGTATTACATCAATGCAGCTGGACACCGCAACGCACACACGATATCTCTGTCCAATTCAGATTCCAATTTCCGATCACCGCAGTACTTGTTTTCGGCATGATCGGATGAATGTCTGTGCATGCGCTAAATCAATGTAAGCTAAAGTTCTACGAGTAGACCTACGACTATTTATTTAATCAAATAGTAGATAATACATCTACCTCAAATTTCTCATGAAAACAGATCAGACTGGAGCTTGAGAATACCAAATATGTATAGGCCTACAAAACGTTCAATACAATTCCGCCGTGACGGCGGTGGAATTATATGAGTTTGACGCCAAATTTGCGTTCACGACTGTTTAAACTTTAAATTGGCATCGTCATCATCACCACACACACAAATACAAATGCTCGGGGCTTCACTATAAAAATTGCGACAACTTACCACCTCCATACGCATCCATGAAAACCTTTGCAATACGTCTCCTCCTGAGATCATATTCATTCTCAGTTGAATTGACATTTTGTGTTTGTGTTTCAGTCGGTTTTAATGGTTCAGATACGTGCTCTAACTGCTCTTCCATGTTAACAAATCTTGTGTTTGAAGGCGGAAATATGGCAGAATCCTGTGCTTTGTCGGCTGAAAAGGCGTATTCAAGGATATGGTGTTGCCAAGCGCCATGAAACAAAGAAAAAAGAAAAAAGAATGAAAGGAAGAAGAAAACAAAAATGGAAGGAAGGAAAAAAGAAAGAAAGAGGCAAAAATAATAGTTAAGTCTAAGTATCAGAACTAAAATATGTTCTGTCTATTATCGTACCATGTTCATCTCACTGTGATTCATGACTAAATTTGATCATAGATATCATGCATCACATGATAAGGCCCGTCTCCATCATCATCATCATCATCATCATCATCATCATCATCATCATCAACATCATCATCATCATCATCAACATCAGATCATCATCATCAACATTAACATCATCATCACCATCATCATCATCATCATCACCATCATCAACATTAACATCATCATCAACATTCACATCATCAACATCATCATCATTATCATCATCATCATCATCATCATCATCATCATCATCAACATCAACTTCATCATCATCATCATCACCACCATCATCATCCATCATCATCAGTATCATCATCATCATCATCATCATCATCATCACCACCATCATCAACCATCATCATCAGTATCATCATCATCATCATCAACATCAACATCTCCATCTTCTTCATCATCATCATCATCATCATATATCATCAATAATGTGGGTGATTTATCACTACAAAATTTCGCGTTCACATACGCCTCAATAAATGAATCACCACCGACAACACCAAATTTTTAGAAAATTCAAAAAGAAAGTGCTTGCTGCCAAAGTAGCCGTTGCTTACAATCGCGATAGTTTCGTGTCACATATGATTCTGGTATCACAGGAATTTCCTACTTTCATGTCACATCACTATCACATCAATTGTATGCAACATCAGTATAAAAAAGCATTATGACTAAGATCAGCAACAGTTTCATCATTCTTTGTAATCATTACAACCATAGTCAGCATCATCAGCAAAACAAGCTGATACAAACCTTCTAAAGATGAGTAATATAGAAGAAGCAGCCATGACAAGACATATCATTTCGGAGAGTCTTTATTCTCATGACTATTATAATCATAAATATATGCTCTGAAGTTTTACAATTAATAATCTTACATCCCATACATGATATTTTCCACGAAACCAGGGTAAAAGGTCAAGATGTCACACTCGAGGACAAAACTTAAAATAGATAAATTCAATATAGATACATATCATTTACACTGTATTCCAGAATAGTTTTGTGCGCACGATCATAGCATAATTAGATCATTGCTGTTTAAAAGAGTGGTTTAAAAAAATGGCTTAAAATTGCCCAAAGAACAAAGAAAAGGGAATACATAGACATATATATATTGACTATCAAACCACAAGGAATATGTTAACAAAGTTAGTTAAAGAGTATGAGTGTTTAAAATGGGTTGCTCATAATACCGAGGATTATGATTATGAAAAAAGTTTACTGTATCTAATAAAAGAAAAACATTCTTTTTTAAAATCAACCTCTTTATAAAAAGAAAAACGATCCCCACTTCACCACAATATAAACTGAACTCGGCAAAACAATAGAAGAGAAAATACTTGTCAAAATTAGAAATAAATGTCTGAAAACTAAATTAGAAAACACAACGTCTGACAGAATAACGTTATGATGCAACAATGTAAATTAAACCACATTTGACTACCAGTATTATAAATTCAAGCCCAACCCAACCGTTGCCTTATTTTATAAGAGTTATGATAACAAATATCCACGTTAACAATGTTGTATTTTAAGAAGCATCGTAAGAGGAGATTCATTATATAAACTTAAAACAATATAGAACTTTTGAAAAACATCTTATCATTAGTATCAAATAGCTTAAACTCAGCTATGTTTGACGAGAATACGTGTTTCTTTGGAATTGTGGACATCATTTTCCTGAGATTTGAAAAATATGTCTTGTGCCACTCCGTAAGTAATTGTTCATAAATTAAAATCCATGCCATCATCACTGTAAAAAGTAAAGATATGAAGCAATAACTCAGAATACAAATAAAATCCACTCCCAACAGATCGAGAAGAATGAAAACGGGTGGACGTTTCTAGTTACAGGCATGATTGCTAGTTTTACAAATTAATCATTTTTGTGTAAACCCTGTCAATGAAATCCTAATGGTATTATGTAAACGATAATACTGTTCTTTCTGAGGACCCTGCTATTATGATTAAACCAGCAATTGCAAGGTACCCATTTCCCGCCGGGTGGAGAGCGGCAAATGTGGAAAAATGTCTAGCCCAATGATATTGATTGAGAATCAAGTGAACATACCACTATACCATGACATGGAAAATGTGTGCTGTTCCAAAATTGAAGCATAGTTCATCATGGGTTAATTCTGCTATCTACAACACAAAAATGTTTTCACTCCTGCAATATTCACATAAAGTGACTCTTCTATTTAGTATAGTGTACACATTAAAAACAGCAAATACATTCACATTGAATTTTCACACACTTTGAAATACATCATAACCACAAACCAATGAACAAGTTTGCTTTTTATTAATTAAAAGCATCAGTCAACCAACCAACAACTAAATTTGTTTTGAAAAAACATAGTTAGTTTCCATTCCGGGATGGGTAGGGAGTATAGTGTTTAGAGGCAGCAAAGCACATACCCCTTACCCTCCTCCCCTCAAAAACAAAAAATGATAGTGCTAAAAAAGCACACATAATTCATTATTTTTCTTAATTTGATGATATGGGGGGGGGGGGGGGGGTGTGTACTAAAAAAATGCCATTATTTTGTATTCTTTTCAAATTGTTTCTGCATTGACATGTATGTATGCATCCCTCTTATACAGCCCCCCTGTCCCCCAACCCCAGCAAGATTTAAGAGTGTAAACAACACTGCAAGATGGTAACAATTTTGTTAAACATTACACACATACATATATGTCACAATAAAACGCTTCCCAAGTATGCACACAAACTGTAAGAGAATACATTATTGAAAGTTTTCAAAGCTAAAATTAAACTTGAGCAAATTCAGCCTCCAGACTATTTTTCTTAGAAGCTGTTTTTGACACCTTGTGAACCGTTGATTTCAATCCAAGCATTTAAACAGTGAACATGACAAGTTGTTGTAACGACATTCAAGGAAAAAATAGCATGAAATGTTGTACTTTGAGACCTGGATGTATTAGTACTACATATTTCAATGAGAGTCACTTATCTATTGTTCAAAAAGGATTTTACAGCACATGTGGTGAATGTTTATCTTAACCATCACTGCAATCTTTTGCACAATCTAAAATGACAGCACGTAACAAGCAAAGATATAAGACAGCTACTACCAGCCTGCATGTCCATTTCAGTTATTACGCTGGGCATAAACATCATTATATCTAATGAATTACTCAGAGACAATAAAAGCCTTTCAGTTGAATATCATCTGCAGCATTTGGACAATGTACACCAGAAGTATCTAGCCATATATCTACTGCGTTTCACAAGGTGAGAATTACAGTACATTTACATTGCAGATGCATTCTAGAGGTTTCTAGATTCTAGATTAAGTTTCTAATGCGATTTTCAATTCTACGTACCATCGACAACAGAAACTTTTTGGGCTATTCTGTTCAATATATCCTTTATTTATTTATTCAACCAAAAATGCAATAGTTAGATAAAGCCATTGTTTTAATAATGGTTATTTAATTTCCAGGATCCACAAGTCAATAGTTATATTCTTCATTTTGAGGTAAAATAAATAATTAAAAAGACATGGTGTACAGGAAAAAGTGAAAGGAATCGCCCTTCTACCCTTCTCATTACTATCAAAAAATGACCAATGCATGTATTTTATAATTCTATAATACTGTAGCTGCTTTTCAGTGACTAGGGAAAGGATGATTATTGCTTTCTGAGGAAGAAGTTTATGGCACGTATTCTAAATAATTTAGAATCAATACACTGGCTGCTTACATATCACACCAATTGTTAAAATATATTCATTTAAGGCCCCTGCCTTAAGAAAAAGAGTTGCAACCATTTATTGGCATTATTAAATCACAAATCCTCCAAATAACAGGGCAAAGATGAACGAATTTAGCTCTCGAAAGCTACTAAATTGCTCAGGTAAATTGAAATAGAGCTCTTGGCCCCATCTTACAAAGAGTTGCAATCGATACAATCAATCGCAAGTCCTCCAATCAATCGCAAGTTTGCAGTCTCCTGTCTCTTATGTACATAGTTGTGCAAGTTGCGATTGATATCAACTCTTTGTAAGACGGGGCCCTGGTAAAAACAATAAAATAACATAATGTCCCCGCGAGATAATCACACTTATACAACACCCTAATACAGCTCCAGCAATTAGAAAAGTGTTTTTTACATGAGCAAACTCACAATCTTCTCCCTCTATTGTATGAAGTTGTGATCATTTCAATCAATTGCAACTCTTTATTTGAGGGGCCCAGGTACATTCACCACACATAACATTAATTAATTTAAATAGCGGCGCAGATAGGGGCACAGATGAGCAACTTATCACCCGATTATATATTCTCACACATCAGAAAAAGCACCTGCAGTGGAAAAAAGAACCGATGTAGACTAGCATTGAATCACTATCTTCACCCTGTGGTTGTAAATTGGCAATGCCTAGTCTCTTGCTTACAGTCCCTTGTTAAAATAGACCCTGTCTATACCTCCACCTCGCTTCTGTATACCCGTCTGTAGGTCCTCCTCTAGACTGCTTACGGGCAAAGAGCTGGATACAGTTTAAAGAGGAGAAAAGGAAGGAACATTTAAATTAATATTTTTCGTAAAGATATTTATCAAAGAGAACATGCATTATAAGATAAGAATTAATAATCATTTGAAGGAATCTAGAGCAGAGCATAATGTTCCTTATAAAATATTTCAAGTTTTCTACTGTATTCACTCACTGTCATATGTGTATAGTTCTTAACACAGCATTTTACTGACTCCTTTGAATTGCAACATCAACAAAAAGAGAATGGATCCCATCTTGATCAAGGACTAGGGTTTAAGTTTCAGCATGACCTAACATAACCATGTACAGATTCTAATTTTTCTATGTTTACAAATGTATCTTTTAAATTACTGGTAAAAGCACTGCAAGAAACTATACCTGTTTCTCACCAACTTCCCCTTTCCCTGCCCCCCCCCCCCCCCGGTGAATTTTCACTTGGATATATTTAGATTAAAAGATCATCTCAAGTGTTGCTCGGAAAACATCTTATTTATTGCTTTTTAAAGTCAAGAAAATTTTACCTTTTCTGTGGGAACAAGGCACAGCACATTGGTGTGGCAAACAAAAGCCTGGAAATACAAAACAACACATAGAGAGAAAGAAAACAAAAAATCACAATTTTATAGTAATAACCCTTTCATTATCATTCAATAACAATTCAAGAGCTAATCACAAAATGAAGTGAAATTATTTCATAAAATGATGTCATCCCTTTTAATTCATAAATCTCTAATTATGGCTAAACTTATAAGAGCATGAGGGGTCATTGGTAGAAAAGTGACCGCGCAGCCTGTAGGTCCGGGTTCGAAACCAAGTCTCTGCAATAGTGCCCCTTTGGTAAGGCATTAATCCTCATAACCACGTCTCTCGGAGAGGATTTAAAGCCACCGGTCCCCTGGAAGCTCACTTACAAGCACACACATGCTTTCTTAGCAGCCCGATAAAAAAATTAAAAAACATGGTACACACAGAGTATAATTTTTGTAGTTTACAACGCAGAGGCCAAGATATAATGCATCTGTTCTGAATTCAAAAATTCAAACTGCTGGTACATACAAGCCTTAACTTGAATGTATTTCTTTTACAAGTGTCTGGATTACATAATCCAGTATCCAATGTCTAACTAAAGACAACCCTTACACTACTGTGTAATATGAAGTACCACTTACATGATGCCGACCATTGATACTTGTATAGGAGCGCCGAGGTATGGATAGCGCTTGAGAAAGGTTCCCTTGTCAAGTTTGTTCATTACGAAGGCAGGTAATACTGAAAGAAAAAATAAATCTAAAAATGTATGAAGGATATCAATGTACATTATCTGTCAGGCAATAGTCATGCACCAGGGAAATGTATCATTATCATATTCTGTGCAATATATGTCATTTAAAAAAAATGGACTGAAAATATTAAAGACCAGTATAATAAATGCAGACTCTCGAGTGGTTCATAGGTCAAAATCTGCCAAAGGGCTCACACTGAAATGACCATTTGCATATTTTCTTCATCATATTGTGAAGAATTTATTTCATCGTACATTGGATTCCATTTTGTTCTTGTCTTTTTTGTTTGTTTTTGTAGCGATCATTCAAAACCGAGTACACATGCACAAGAAAAACCCATATCTCATGAACAAACAAATGAAACAACGACTTTATGTTTTGTATTTGTTGTCATATATTAGAGATATTCTGCAATACTTGTCATTGAATATTACAAACAAATATCCCAATTAACTAGAATTTTGCTTTTGTTATACATATATGTGCATTACTGTGGTTGTAAATTGTACTTAAAGATTGGAGTGTTACACCATGTAATTTTTCAAAGTATTTTTTTTTTGGGGGGGGGGGGCATGAAACAACATGGCAATGTGTCTGACATAAAACTGTACCAACAATATATAATGACAGAGGCATAGTGCATTGCACAATTTCTGTATCTTAAGCCCCACTGCACTACTTATAGCTAGTTGCACCCTCTATATAGCAAACAATGCCTAAGCGGTCACCTTTTTCTTATGTTAATTGAGAGCTGATGTGATGAGATAACCACCTGTCATGTGACCTTGCAGGGAGGTCTAATTCCTCCATGCCAAACTAGTGCTGAGGGGCTTTAAAACAAACATGAACAGACGAGATGAGAAAGCTTAAAAGTCTATTATGTGTGCAAACAATGCTAATATCCCCACTTGCAATTCATGTACAAGTTAAGTGTTTATTATAGCTGAGGAACTTTTTTTTTCCTTCTCTCATTTACAGCTGCTAACTATGGTATGTATGAACAAGGGCTGATGGGCTTTCAAATTCTTTCTCTTCCCACGCAACTTACACATTCCTGGCATGGCCATAAAGATTCTCGATATCACAACCTGGGTGATGGCGCTCTTCGCCGCTTTCTTGGAGTTCCCGAGCCGGTGACCGTTCTCGTCAAAGACGGGGATACCGTTGGCAAGTTCGGCGCTCCTCATCATGGGTATATTGATGCAGTTGGCTGCGCACACAGCGGCAAACGGTACCATCCTACCGATGATAGGTGGTGCTGACTGGAATGCAACAAAACATTCAGATAGATTTTAAACCAACGGCACAAATAGATTTTGGGAGTGTAACTACTTGCTTACTGGAGAGAAAAAAAAACTAAATTGTATGTTGATAAGGTTAAAAACAAACTTAAACATTTCCATAGTTACCGGTAACAATGTTTCCAATAGAGAAGCGAACAGAATAGTCCCTTACTATACATGTACATATATCACTCGATATAAAAATGCTCTGTGACTGAATACAATATACCCTGACACCAATTGCTCCATGGTGAAATATCTTTCACTAATTGATTTTCTAAGGGCAACCCTGTACACAATACTGTACACTAACCAGGGATTTTCAACAAAACTCAATTTCTAAAGGTCTGGTCTTTGACTAAATAAAGCTGAAGCTGGTACAGTCGGATCACAGAATTGGCATGTGAGACTATGAGCGCAATATGCCAATACGAAAAAGAGCTTAAAAACCAGTTACCCCCCCCCCCCCCATGATATACAATACCCCTACTTTCTATTTTTATCTACATGTAGTACATGTACATTGTACATGATAGATATCATTGCAAAATCCCCAAAGTTAACACTGTGTTCAAAGAAGAAATAGAATCTTTGAAGACAGGTCCTCTTACAGCTTTGAAAGGTCTAACACCACTTGGATAATAATAACAATAATAATAGTAATATTGGATATTTCAATAGCCCACATATTCACCACGCAAGGTACTCAAGGCGCTCCAGTATTACTCTGGCTACTGTTTTCGGTGCTCAAATCCTTCCTACCAGTACCCATAAACACCTGGGTGGAGAGTAGCAAATGTAGATTAATGTATTGCCAAAGTACATAAGTGTCGCGACACAGCTCGAACCATGAACCATGTGATCTACTGACCGTAACGTATCCACTAGACCACCATCACAAATATCCACCATGCAGCAAATCCCAACCTTGGCCGATACAGTGTGTTGACCTCAAGGTGCTTACCTTAACTAAACTGTTGAGACCTATCGCCGACCCGACAGCCCCTACAGTGGCTAATGCATATGACTTCCCTAGTTGCCTAAAAACAGAGCAAGAGAACAAAATGGCAAATATCTGACATTAATGGGATTAGTTAATCAATGGACACACTTCTTGTTTTATGTTTGTTACTAGTAAGACAATTTTTTAACCAAAAATATTACAATTCATTCTATTCAATTACCTGCAACTCATTTATTTATGAACTTATTCATTCATTCATCTATTTATCTGTTCATTCATTCATTCATTCATCAATTCATTCCTTTATTCATTCATTCTTTTTTTTTTTTTTCTAACTTCTATTCCATAGTCATTGGCTGAACCCTAGTCACCTTTTGTTCATGGAATCCTGGGAATTTATTTGTAAGGTTTTTTTTAAATAATTTTTTTAATTTATTTTTGTATTTATCACTATCTTTTCAATTTTCATTCGGGGTGGGGGGGGGGGGGGGGTGGGGGAGGGGATGAAACTTTCCACTCACATCTCTATAATTACAAAACCCTCACCTAAATTCAAGGAGATTAATCGTTTGAATTAAAATTAGTTTCTATCAAATATGAACGGTTCTTGACTTTGTATCACTTGATAATTTTTCTCAACTGCCTAAAAACATTTCCTTCCCTTTATATTACTATCATCATCATCAAAACAAAGAACAAGTTTTATTCCAAGTGGAACTGGATCAGAACAAAATTTGGAGAGGATGTTTGAATATCATTGGCAAACAATTTAATATACAGTCTAACCTGCTTTTAATAGTGACCACCTTTCTACAAAGACCACATTTTTTGTTTACCTTGAAAATGGTTTCTCATTGAGACATGTACTAAAGGAACCAGTACATATAGACCACCTGCCTATAAAGACCACTTTTCTTGTCTCCTTGGTTGGTTATTAGAGACAGGTTTCACTGTTACTGTTGTACTCACTATAGATAATCCTAATATTTCACCACTGAGGGATAGTGTCTAAATTTCTTGTCCAAACAAAATGTATGAGTCTTCTTCTTCCTTTTGAGTACAGACCTCTTTACAGAGTATTATCATACTATACTGGGGGTGTGTGCAGGTGGACCACTACACCAGGGTTTCCCCCTACTCTTATACGAATAGTGCAGTTCTTAAAGTGCAAAGGTAGTGACTCTTCTCTACACGGGCCTCCATCATCAGTTAATTAATCGTTTGGACTAGCCGAGAAAATATTATACTTACGAGACAGGTATCGGTTTATCTCCACTTCTGTTTGTGTAGTTGACGACAGCGTTGAAGGACTGATTAAACCATTGCCAAAATAATACAGCTGGGGTGGTTCTAGATAAGAAAAAGAGACAGGACAAATAAAAAGAAGTAATACCTCTGTCAGACCAACAAATCTACGCCAAACTACATAATTTGGATATGATTTTTGTGTTGTCTTTCGTTGGTCTTGTTTTGATCGTATTTTAACGTGACTTACATGTAAATTGATAAAAATACAGTCAAACCTGCTTTAGCAACCACTACCGGTAATAGGAAGACCACCTGTCTACAAAGACCTCATCTTGTGTTTTCCTTGGAATGTGTTTATCATCAAAACTTGCATTAAATTGACCTGTTCCTAGAGTCCACCTGCTCATAACGGCTACTTTTGTTGTTTCCCTTGAGTGGTCTTTATATACAGGTTTCACTGTAGTAATTAATAAGCTCACATTATGATAATTAAGCACTTTCCGTGACCGAGGTCCTTTAAATGACGATTTAAATGAGCAGGTACCTGCAACATTATATTCTATCAATCATTTGCATATTAACCAAATCATTTTTTTTTTGCCCTCAAAATACTCATTGTCTAGTTCATAAATCATCTGCTATTGTACCAGCATAAAGCAAATAAAACCAGAGTACCACACCAGGGACCCGTTCCACAAAGCCTTTTTTCAATGACAAATGACAAAAATCAGTAACAAATCTGTTGATAACCAATCAGAAGCAGGGATTTCAGTAGCTTATAACAACAACTGTCATTTGTCACTGATGACAAGTTTTGTGAAAAGGGGCCCTGATGTCGCTTCAGACATAGTGAGCTTTGTATTCTATACTTGTATTCCAAACAGAGGAATAAAGTGCAGAGAGAAATTTGGGAAAGTGGAAATAAGATGGCGAGAGGGAGAAACAGTGATAGAAGGCAGAGAATAGAAGAGAAAGAGAGGGAGGGAGAGAGGGAGACAGGGAGGGAGGGAGAGAGAGAAAGGGGGAGAGTTAAAGAGAGATTTAAAAAAAGGGGGAAGACAGATGGAGAGAGCTGATAGAGACGGTGAGTCAGGGAAAATACCCAATGGGAAGAGGGAGGTGTTGAGCTGGAGGTGTTTTAATGATCCCTCCTTAAATCTCTTACCTAAATGGATTGCGAGAGAGAAAGAGAGAGGGAATGAATGGACAAGGAAGGGATAGGGATATTTAGATCTTTTCCTCTCTTTTCAACTCCTTACCTGTAGAAGGTCATCATGCAGCCTGTAATGCACATGTTCATGGGAACCTGGGCGGACATTCGACCAATCAGCATCATCTTCTCCTTGGTGTCCGGATGGAATGCCGAATCATAACGATACTTCGCCGTCCAGACTTCATCGTTAGAGGTTCCCGCTGGCTCTTTCCCTTCCCTATAATAATTATAATAATAATATTATATTTATAACGCCCCTTTTCATTCATAGATACAAAGTGCACAAACTAGAAGCAACCCTTAACCAATATATATTTCTTTCTCTGGCGGATCTCTGAAGGGAAAAGTACATGACCTAAAGAATGAAACTACAGAACAGGAGCTAGTTGGAGGGGAAATGGGGGTGGGGGTGATATTTCAGTAAATCTGTGGACAGAGGCCTTAATTCAACCCTTTCAAATTTCATTCTTGAGTCATTGAAAAACACAAAAAACATCAAATTTACAAGGGGGTTGAATTATTTAGTTGTTAACTGGATATGCCTGAACCCTTGTACCCCCTTTAAGGCCATTCAATAAGTTAAACATCCACAGTATACCTGTATAACTGGACTAGTTTCTTCGCCTCGTCTAACTGTGCATTGGAGAGGAGTACGTTGAGAGGATTGGTGACCATGAGAAAGTGCTTGGCTCTACCCATGTATACATTCTGATCAAACATAGGTTCATCGAGGTTCAGCCGAGGTGTGGCGGGCTCTGACGTCGTCAAGTCTTCCTTCATCATTCCTGGATCAGCCATCTCAAGTTTAGGTTTCGGATGATTTACTGTATTGCCGAATGTGATGATGGATCAAACTGCATGGGGAATTGAATCGAGAGCATAGGTATTGATTTGGCTTTTCATTGATTTAAAGTTAAACCACACACAATTCTAACACGATGTAGCTTATTTTCTCCCGTTTGTTTTGCACATGTGCAGGGCCAGGATGTGCGTGAAAGCGTTTGCACTCTGCACTCTTTGGGGCTAAATCGGTATAATAAGGTCAATAATACTGTTAACGGCTAGACCTTGACTCAAGATTCAGTCATGCAATATTTCAACTTTGAAGAGTGGTCTAGATCTACTTAATTCTAGCCTTAAGGGCTCTCTCGAAATGTTTTTTTAATGATATTATTCGAGAGAGCCTTAAACGGCTCCCATACCCCTGCACGGAGAGGCATGTAAACAAAACTCAAAAGTGGTCCAAAATCACACTTTCGCGCACCCGACCAATATTGGACAGTGGCTTTGATAAATTTTGTCGTAGTTTTGATCTTAATTAGCGCTTTAATTTCAAAATCGGATCTAAAAATAACAAAATAAGAGCAATTTTCTTACCAGACCGATACAGCTCAGCTCCCTTTTCACGTGTACCGTGTGAATTCACGATGTCTACACAATGGTGATGACCTCTGACTGGCACTTCCGTAATTGTGGGTAAATTGTGCTGCTTCCGTATAATGCGCTGTATGAGTGTTATTCAGCGCATTATACGGAAGCAGCACATTTACGAAGTGCTAGTCAGAGGTCATCACCATTGTGTAGACATCGTGAATTCACACGGTACACGTGAAAAGGGAGCTGAGCTGTATCGGTCTGGTAAGAAAATTGCTCTTATTTTGTTATTTTTAGATCCGATTTTGAAATTAAAGCGCTAATTAGACCCTAAGACCAAAACTACGACAAAATTTATCAAAGCCACTGTCCAATATTGGTCGGGTGCGCGAAAGTGTGATTTTGGACCACTTTTGAGTTTTGTTTACATGCCTCTCCGTGCAGGGGTATGGGAGCCGTTTAAGGCTCTCTCGAATAATATCATTAAAAAAACATTTCGAGAGAGCCCTTAAGGCTACTTAATTCAGGCTAGACCGAATTTTCTGTCTCTTTCGTTCGTTAGCCTCTTATTGGGGTAGGGTCGGCTCTCTCTTTAGAGACGGAAACCGTCTATACACATTCCCTTGATAACGCCACGGCCATTTCAGGTCGTAGCGTTTTGCCCCCAAAATCCCCCAAAATGTCATTTTACCTTGTGCATATCCACATGTAAATTAGGCCTAGGCTATAATAAATCAGTTCCACTTACCAACTTGACTGAAATAATCAGTTTAATAGTCCCTTTTTAGGAATTTATGGGTCAAAATCGAAATCCATGTTGAAAAAGATTTTCAAAATGGATTTCGATTTTGACCCATAATTTCCTAAAAAGGGACTATTAAACTGATTATTTCAGTCAAGTTGGTAAGTGGAACTGATTTATTATAGCCTAGGCCTAATTTACAATATAAAATGCACGAGGTAAAATGACATTTTGGGGGATTTTGGGGGCAAAACGCTACGACCTGAAATGGCCGTGGCGTTATCAAGGGAATGTGTATAGACGGTTTCTGTCTCTAAAGAGAGAGCCGGCCGACCCTACCCCAATAAGAGGCTAACGAACGAAAGAGACGGAAAATTCGGTCTAAATTCAGGCATGCCGCATGGTGACTAAAAATTGACCTTCTCTGGAATTATAAAATTAAAAGAAATTAAACTGAAATCTCTGCCTGCAGTCATTTCCATCGTGATTAACAAGGTCAGCTGTCAATAATGGTTATGATATCCATATCCTGCCTGATGCGTGTCACACAATAAACACCGGTGGGTGTGTCATGGGTGTGCGCAATCGGCCACAAGTCCGGCGGCAGCGCAATCAATCAATCGACGAAGTTATAGTTTACGACTTAACAGCATAATATAGGTGTGGGACTGGGCACACTATGACGTCTAAGGAATCACAACGAAACAGAGTATAAAATTAACAGTTTACAACGCTTGTGAGTATAGGATACTGATATCTACACACATAACAATTCACGGTTATATCAGAATTTATGAACACTTACCTACCTCCAAATTAGGCAACGGAGCTCTAAAAATTGGTGCGTCGCGTCGTTGATCTATCTTCGCAGGATCTCGCCAAAAGCGCAAGCGCAAGCGCATACAAACTATTAATTCATTGTAATGCTTAAAACAAGAGATGGCGCTAGACCTTTTTTTTTTTTAGACAAGGCCAAGGGGACTCAACCACTATAGTAGTTTCAGTTCTGTGGATCGTATGATCGAATATCTCTGTTTTGAGGGATAAACAAATCTCAATGAAGATCTGTACACAAATTAGCGATACACGGTCTTGCTTTAATGTTTTAAACAACAAATGCTTAACCAATTTTTGCAGAGCTAATTAAAGAACGTTTTGAAGAAAGCGACGAAAGACTGAATATGCTTGAAAACTTTACATTACTGTGTATCTACTGTACTTTTCAATTTGACATGCATGCTGGCGTATATGGGGGAGGGGGAGGGTGCAGTAATGCTGCAGCCAAAAAGAGCGCCATCAAAATAACTCACTCAAAATAAAAGGAGTCAAAGCAGAAAGGAATACAAGTCAAAGGAAATGCTACGCTCCCTCAAGAGTTTACGCCGTAAATTTGTAGGATATATTCTTTAAAATATCATAATTTCTTAGTTAAAATCTAATTAAGAGCTGATAGTCTGAATTAATCATCATCATCTCTGCCACCACCATCATCATCATTGTCATCATCGTCGTCGCCATTACCACTGTCATCATCGTCAACACCATATTCACTATCAGTAAGAATAATAATAATAATAATAACGTTTTTTATTTACCCAGGGTAGCCACTTCAGTTATGAAACTAGCTGCTCTTCCAGCGGGCCCTGCATAACATATTATGTTATTACTAACCTTCTCCAATGTAATATGCTGAACGCCTAGCTAGAAGGCAGAAGGTCCCATTGTTATAAGTCTTTGGTATGACTCGGCCGGGGTTCGAACCCACGACCTCCCGTTCATGAGGTGGGCGCTCTAACCACTGAGCCACCATGTTTATAGGCCTATTGCGCAAGACTGCTTGTGCTGCGGCAAATAAATGATTCTGCTGCTATCATAAAATTCGTGTCCAAACAACTCTTAAAACGCAAATTCATGATTTCATTAAAGGTAAAGACCCGACCGGTAGTGATAAAATCGCGGCTCAAGGGTTTTGGGAGCAAAACATCCATTCAATATTCTTTAAATATTGCCTTTAGAGGTTTAGATGGCAATACTTCAACCTAAATTCGCAAAAAAAGCAATATGCCCAAATGTTCAATGTGCATTCGCGATATCTATCCAGGTCGGATCGATATGATAAATTCGCAAAAAAAGCAATATGCCCAAATGTTCAATGTGCAATATGCCCAAATGTTCAAGTGCATTCGCGATATCTATCCAGGTCGGATCGATATGATAATTTATCAAATTATTATAGTAGGCGGTTTCCCGGCAAAATTTGTATCGTCACGTATTAGTAAAAACATATCCTTTCACACGATTGATATATGGAGGTTTCATTTCATTTTTTTTTTGGAGAGGGGAGCGTTTCCAAAACTGGGATAGTACAGCTACTGGATCTTGTGGGACGAAGGTCCAAAGCATGCAGTACCGTCCAACGGTCACAACCAGCTCTCGATATTAAAGTGGTCTACCGCTATCTCTTGTTTAATAAATTATAGCGACGGGTAAATTGTGTCTTTTGCCGTGTAGCATTGTCCCCAACCCAGTTAATTATAAAGTCTGGGTATAAAGTACTCTCATTTTTATACCCGGATTTATAGATGCACTTAAAAAGCCAATTGGTGTAATCCTTCCCCATAGAAAGAGCAATTAATGCATTCATAATCCACTTCCCAGGAAAGACCACCTCTCATGGTAAGCTCCTTACATAAAACTGCCAAGTATTCTATTGTTCTGGCAGGCCCATTTATGCCCTTGTTTTGGTGGCCCTCATTCATGTCATTGTCCCTTTGACACAATGACCAATGTAACCCACCCTCATATTACATGTATCCGTCTTTATACATATTACATGTTCTGACTTTCAAGGGGAGAGTTGAGTTTTTATCACCATACGATCAAGACCCTTGATCTTTAGCTGGCTCTCTCTTCATCTTGTGTTTTACATAATTATGTGAAAGACTGATTTGATTCTCCAAAGTTTGGAGATAATAAATACTCTCACATTATGACTCCGGAATTACAAGCCTCTCCCTGTGTCATGATAATGAATATGTATCAGATTATGCAAATGTGACACCTGTGACCTCAGGAGGTCAGATCGCATGTGCGCGATGTATATGCGATACGCGTGACTTGATACCCAGTGCGGGGAATAAACACCAGACTATGGTTTATGGAATTCAACTACTTTGTTAGTTTGTTTGCACTTAATATGTGACATTGGCGACGAGGATTAATGTTTCTTGGATGTTGAATCTGTGGCTACGAGCTGGAAAAGTTTCAACATGGCATTCGCTGGAGCGGAATTGTTAGCGCTTCGAGGAGTTCCACACTTCGATCCGACGGGTGGTGCAAGTATTGTCAGCGGCAAGTGGAAAGCTTGGCTTGAAGAGTTTGAAGCCTACGCCGATAGTCGCGGCCTGTTTCTGGACGGATGTACGCTGGCCCAGGAGGCTCAACGGAGAGCACTGTTGCTGTACACTGCGGGGCCTGTGGTAAGGGAGACTTTCAAAACACTTCCCAATAAAGGAGAGAGGAATGAGTATCAAAAAGCCACAGATGCCCTCAATGCTCATTATGTTGTCAAACCTAATGCTACGTTTCAAAGACATTTGTTCAGGAAAACAAAGCAGGAAGATGGTGAAACGGTTGCCCAATTTGTTACCAAATTACGACAGGTTGCTATTGGATGCAATTTCGTAGCTGGGGATGTAGAAAACCAAATTCTTGACCAAGTAGTTCAGTACTGCAGAGCTGATAAACTTCGCAGGAGAATGCTGGAGAAAGGAGGTGAGCTCAAGTTAAATGATGCATTGTCCATGGCTGCTGCTCTAGAAGCTGTTGAAGGTCAATTTAACTCCATGTCATTGAGAGAGAGAGAAAGGCCTAGAGCTGGTGGACAAGTTCAAGTGAACCAAGTATCGTATGAGAATGACAGAAAAAAGAATTTGGAATGCTACCGATGTGGGAACAAAGGACATTTTGGGAAGGATGCATCATGTCCAGCCAAAGGAAAGATCTGTCGGAAATGTGGAGGCCAAAACCACTTTGCGACGATGTGCAAAAGTAAGGCCAAGAGCACAAGTGAGGCGAGAGGAAAATTCAGAGATGGGAAGTCCAGAGATGGAAAGAAGTATAAAATAAGAATAGAGTTCGCCAAGTGGAAGGTGAACCCGGACATGATAGTGATGATGACAACAGCCGTGGCCGTGATCAGAGGTACTATCAATTTGCTGTGAATGGTGATCATGAGAAAGTCCCAATAATCATTGGAGGTGTCACAGTCCCAGTGATAGTAGATTCGGGAAGTGATTGCAATGTAATAGATCAGATATTGTGGGAGAAACTGAAGAAGGACAAAATCATCTGCAAATCTACTAAGAGTACCAAGAGGCTTTATCCGTACACATCACAGATACCATTAACAACTGTTGGATGTTTCACAGCCACCGTAGAAGTTGGCAAGATGAAGTCGACTGCAGAGTTTGTTGTCATCAAAGAAAAGGGAGAACCTTTACTGAGCAAACATACGTCTAGAGAGCTGGGAGTGCTCCAGGTGGGAATTGTACATGTAAATGCGGTACAGAGTTATGCAGGTTTAAAGCAGGAGTTTGAAGCAGTCTTCAAAGGAGTTGGGAAGTTGAAGGGCCGACAGGTGCGGTTAGCAGTGGATGAAACGGTGAAGCCAGTGGCCCAGCCTGTGCGAAGGACTCCATTTGGACTGAGAAAGAAGGTGGAGATGAAGATCGCGGAATTGATCGATCTTGACATCATTGAGCCAGTTGAACGCTCCACGCCATGGGTTAGCCCAGTTGTCATAGTTCCAAAGAGAAATGACGAAATTAGACTTTGTATCGATATGCGGAGAGTTAACGAAGCAATCATAAGAGAACGTCACCCCATTCCCACTATTGAGGAAGTCCTACAGGAGCTGTCGATTAGCAAGGTCTTTTCGAAAATAGACCTGAAGTGGGGGTACCACCAACTGGAGTTACATCCGGAGTCTAGAGAGGTGACAACCTTTGTCACTCATTGTGGGTTGTTCCGCTATAAGAGACTGTTGTTCGGAATCAATGCTGCTCCAGAGATTTATCAATATGAGATACACAGAGTGATAGCTGGGATAGAAGGAGCTGCGAACATATCAGATGACATCATTGTGCATGCATCGACCCAGAAAGAGCATGACAAGAGGTTGAAGCAGGTGCTTGGCAGACTGCGGGACGCAGGACTTACTGCAAATGCAGAAAAGTGTAAGTTTGGTGTCTCTGAGTTGGACTTCATGGGGCACAGACTGACTAGCGAGGGACTCAACCCAGGATTGGCCAAGGTGAAAGCAATTGCAGAGGCCCGTGAACCCCAGACTGCAACTGAGATGAGAAGTTTCTTGGGGCTAGTCAACTACTGCGCAAAGTTCATTCCGAACTTTGCTACATTGGCAGATCCACTGAGAAAGCTGACCAGAAAGGACACGCCATTTCAATTTGGTCATGAACAACAACAAGCGTTTAAGGCGCTGAAGGAAAGCTTAATGAGTGCAGAGACCCTGGGCTACTATGATCTAAATGCACCGACAAAGGTCATAGCGGATGCCAGTCCAGTTGGCTTAGGAGCAGTGCTGGTGCAGGTGCATGCTGATGGCCCGAGGATAGTAGCATATGCCAGCCGCTCGTTAAGTAACGTTGAAAGGAGATACTCTCAGACGGAGAAAGAAGCCCTTGGACTTGTGTGGGCTTGTGAAAGATTCCATGCGTACCTGTATGGAATAGAGTTTGATCTAGTGACTGATCACAAACCGCTTGAAGTCATTTATTCACCGAGATCTAAGCCATGTGCGAGAATAGAGCGGTGGGTTCTGAGGCTTCAACAGTACAAGTACAGGGTAGTCCACATCGCAGGAAAGTCCAACA